ATTACATTCCAGCATCCTCGAAGTATCACATGAGTCCATCGGCGAGGAATTATCAAGGGCCCTAGCTTGCCCTTCAAGAAGTCTAGGGTCGGAGATAAGAAAGCAATAAAACTATTCGGGCGGAATAGGATATTAATTACAGGGGCATTTAGGATAGTTTTTCTAGTCTACAGAGCTCCCTAGCTATAAAAGTTCACGATAGTATTATAGACTGCTTGGCCCACCTCGTTAGTTAAAGGGCGCTTTAGCTTTCTAGATGATATCTTGCTTAAGGTTATTATATTATTCGATAGAGTTATAGAACAGGTCTAGTAGAAGTAGAAGCAGGAAAAATCTTCTAATCGTATCCGCCTGAATAGTCGCTCCTTCCATATCCGATCGTAACGTCGATGTGACGGTCAACCCTCGCAGACTCACTACAACCAGGTGACGTACAGCTGGAACACCTGCCATGGCAGTGCCAGGTGGGAAGCCAATCATAACCCTTGTAGGAGCCCCGCCAAGCGTGGATGACTTAGTCGCGCTCCCTCAAACCTAAGTTGTCATCTTCTTTCCTTCGCTCCTTAGAGTAGAATCTTCGTCGATAGCACCTAATCGAGGTCTATACCAATGCGATGCAACCCAGGTCGTGACAGTCGACAACTGCCCTGCTGCCTAAATAAACTTGCTATTTAACAATAAGAAGTCTTCAAACGTAAGTGAAGTTATTCCCATCATTTTCTTCTTAACCAACGTCAACTTCTTTTGACAATTTCTTCTCACCATCACTTCACCGACCTAGTGTGTAGACTAAGGGGAAAATATACCTACTAGAAGTCTAGATCATATGCTACGTACATTCAGCGATAGGGACGCCTTGGTATTAGCCACCCGAGTCTCTCGTAGAGGACAGGAGTAACAGGGCAGATATATGGCCGCTCGGCGTGGTTCTGCTGTATCCGACAAGGTGTAATCTACTGCCTAGGGCGAGAACTCTAGGCCTGCGGCTTCCATTTCTTTAGATCTGATACCCAGTCATCGTAGGTCTACTCGGCCCAAAAATGAATTACTCTGTCCGAGAAGCTATGGGTTGGCTTAATTAGATGCACAGACATCACGATGCCATTATATAATAAACGATATTCGCCAATGTTTTGTTAGTTCCTAAATACCTCGTATACTAAGACTTATACCTAAGATTAGGAGCAAGTCAACCTTGCGGCGTACATCGCGTTCTAAGATTTCCAAGATAAAGTCAGATCGCGGGTTGTCCTCGCCGTAAAGAAGAATGTCTGGCCAGAGCAGTCCTGGCTCTTGCCTGCGTGGTCCGGTGGCCGATCGAGCCCTGGAGTGCTCGATACACAGCAGACAGGTCGGCAGCTTTCTCGCTCCAATATTGACCACTCTCTCGTTCTCATCCCAGCTATAGCGTTCGTTGCAGAGCGAAGAATGCAAAAGGCGCAGTGACCCATGTAGCTGGACGCATGCGACTCTTCGATCTAGCTGTCTGGCGTAAGTCGGTACAAACTTCTACCGAAGCAGGCCCATCCTGAGGATGAGATAATGTAGTCACACAAAAAAATCATGAGCCTTCGATGACGAAGTATCGTATAGGGCGTCTTTAGAGCGAAAATCCTTGGTCAGGTAAGCACTGAGAAAAATGGAGTGCTCAAGAACATACTGGCCTTCCTATGCTGTTACTGATTCCAGGATCCGTTATGACGACGATGTTAGAACCCGTTGTTATAGCTGTGATCTGGTGCAAGTGATCGTTAAAGCTGGGTGTGGCACGGGTTGTTTTGGGGAAAGTAGCCATACCTATATTGTAAGTTCAAACTTGTGAACGAAGAACCGTAGTAAAGAAGTACAGGACAAAAGATCTGCAACGGTCGCTAGAGGCACCTCTGAAGACTTGGAATTTTACTAATGTTCCGCTTAGCGGATACGCAGCTGCCGAGACTATCGGGGTTGTATTTAGTATCTCGCTCTGTACCTAGGCATAAGTCTTCACTATTGGAGCTTATGATAATCTCCTTCCCTTGTTACTGTCCATCGTGACTTATAACCCTGGATTTGTCGATGCAGATCTATTCAACGCCGTCTTAGAGTTGATTTGTACTTGGACGGTCATCATCGGTCAGATGAGAACCAAAGACTCACTTGGCCAAGTCTCTCAGCAGCGGGGCGAGATTCCAGGTCAGCTTAGTCGCATTTGACAAGACATAGTCAATCGCAGAGAAGCTTGGCGTCACCAAAACGTGTTGTGGGATTGCGGCACGAAGATCAATGCAGAATATATTTTGTCCTTTGATTCTGTATACGGCACGACGTTGTCAAGCGGAATGCTCCGCGCTTCTTATCTTGCGCGTTATTCTCTTTCAAGGTAGCGTCTCGTTATCCGTCTATCCGTTAGAAGTAGGCTTAATAACCTAGTTGCTAGGGAGATCGTGTATGTCACGACCTGGGTTGCATCGCATTGGTAGAGACCTCGATTAGGTGCTATCGACGAAGATTCTACTCTAAGGAGCGAAGGAAAGAAGATGACAACTTAGGTTTGAGGGAGCGCGACTAAGTCGTCCACGCTTGGCGGGGCTCCTACAGGGGTTATGATTGGCTTCCCATCTGGCACTGCCACGGCAGGTGTTCCAGCTGTAAGTCACCTGGTTGTAGTGAGTCTGCGAGGGTTGACCTTCACAGTGTATACAAGTAAGACGAGTTTCAGCTACAGGTTACGGTCTATAAACCGCCTAGCCTAGTACTTACTAATAGACTTACTACCGCGCTGTAACGAGGATACCACACGTCTCACGATAGTAGTCAGGTAGTGCAAAGAGCGGCTATGATACGTCAGGTAGGAGCGCCTCGAGATGTTCTCCTTGACTAGGTGGTTCCGGGGTTCTACCGGATCGGGGGCCCGACTCAGCTTGTCAGCTGAGACCGGCCCGCCATGATAGCTCTTTCCTTACACGCGCGACTTAAGTAGAAGATTAGCTATGTCTTTAATACCATCGAGTTTAACGGGTATCCCTCGCGAATCTAAATCGAGTACCTGCTTAGTACTAACGATCTCTTTAATATTATCTATTTTCTGTCTTCCGTGTCGTGTTTTGGCTCGTAGAGAGTAGTACCGCTTATTCGATAGCGTAGTATCGACTTAAGTATGTTAGATATCGGTACAGCGCGTCGAATACTGACGACGGGCAGTGAAACCACCCGCAGGTTTAAGGTGTGAAGATGATGGCAACGAATAACAAGATCCTTAACAAGACCTTACTATCCGGGAGGTGGAAAGAAATAACAAGATCAAGAGCTCCTTGCCCTGATCGGAACGACAAGTACCTCAACAGGTACTAACAACTGTAGCCTCAGCAGGCTGGGGAAGAAAAGGAACCTCAACAGGTGAAAGATGGGAACAATGGCCTCAACAGGCACAATCAGATCTATAGGGGCAACAAAAGTACCTCAACAGGTACGTCAGACATTGAATGCCTGTCCAAGTAAAGAGAAATTGGTTCAGATTACTGTGGAAAAGGCCGCTTGAATTCCTATCTTTTTCTCAAGGGAGTGACTATGTACATAAGGTCTTAAATACCCTTCAAGAACGCGCTTACATAACTCGTCTGAAACCGGAAAAAAAACGAAAACGAGCACCCAAAAACCCTAACCCCACGTCAATACCTAGTTTTTTGTTTATTTTCTCTTCTTCTTTTGCGTCGTTCGGATCGCTTCGATTGCTAGAAAAATTCTAACTTCTTTAGTTTAGATTAGAGGCATGGTTGTAGAGTGTAAACGCGTTAAGGTCTAGAGGTAGCAATTTGTGGAAAAAGTGCGCAGCTTAATGATATGCGTAGCTCAATGGTAAACCACGTTGTATATATAGTCAATTTATGCATGCATGCATAAGCAGAGGATCACTAGATCATAAACGGCTCGGTACCTGGTAAGCATGGAGGGGTACGTGGGGTCAGCGCATACCCCTGCAGGGTGGATCCAGAACGGGAACTATAAGAGAGTGGAGAGAGGACGCACATTTCGCTGGCGACTGTACTTCTCGAATGGAATCGCCGCCATGCTGCCTTGATTCTGTAAAGCTGTCCAAGCCTGTGATGACGCTGCGACGGTTTGTACAGGGCAATAATTGGTTGTGAAGGATTGATATTGCTGTACGACTGTATAAATTTGAATTGTACGTAATTTGGTTTGCCTGCGTCCTAAATCGAAGGGTGGATATGGCGAAGTCAGGAGCTAGCCACCTATCAGGCTAGCTATTCTGCCCTGGGATGAACTGGCTAGCCTGGAAGATGACCAGCTCCCGTATACTAGTACATATCTGGGGGGGAAGATCTGGGCCTTAGCTAGCTGCAGCAGCGCGAGATCCCGATTCCTTGGTAAGGTGGGGTCAGCAGCCGAATTTGTGTACTGGTACACGCGGGCTAGCCATGCTAGCCTGGTAACCTACTAACCTAGCTAATTCCTCCCAGGGTAAAATAGCTAGCCTGATAGATGGCTATGTAGCACCCTGTGTGCATATGCATTAGCGACGATGCTTCATGGGAGCCTGGGAGCCCTGCGGCTGTGTACTTGCCCATGAAAGACCAGCTACTCAACTCTAAATTCTCAATATATGTAAAGTTCGGTCTTCCAATCCCGCTCACCCGTCTCGGCATGCCCAATCAATGATTAGGGCTAGGCGTGTAAAGATTACTGAACCTCCCGGCAGGAGCGAGTTCAGGCTTTACGTCGACGCAAGCGGGAGTCAGTTAAAGCTGCAGGATCGTCAAGCAGGAGCCAACCCAGACCCTGCCAGGCAGCAGTCAGTTTACAGTATGTATCTAATTTTGAGCAAAATGAAGTTGTGCTGTGTGTGGTCTGTAGTCAGATATAAGGTTTCATTTCATTTTATCTTATTCCACTGGCATTCTATCTGAAGGAGGGGGCTGCATGAAGAGGCGGCGAACGTCCTACTCAACGATGGAGGACCGTGCGGAGATGAAATGATATTCCGTACAAGCTCAAACCACTTCCGATACGCGTTTGGTTCCTCGTACGAAACTCGAGGCCCAGTTAACTCACTTCGACGCGTGGCGCGTCGCGGTGGCGTAAGAGTCGGTTAGCCATATCTTCGACATTGCGAGGCCAGGGAGGAAATGATCGCGAAACTAGCGTCTTTTGAATCAACTAAATCTACTGCCATACCCCACGAGCGGCTAAATCTAGCACTACTAAATCCGGGCTGTTTCTTTTCTATGAAGAAGATATCTTCTGTGTTTACTGGGGTAACCTGAACCTGACACCCATCAAACAGGAGCTGGGTCCTCCTTGTTCATCTTCTTCCAACACTACTACCTGAGTACCTAGACAATTAGCAAAGGATTGCTTTGGCTTTTACTTCAGCATCACCACAATCAGACCCCGCCCTCCTTTCGCCAGCCATTCACCATGCTATCGGCACGATGGAAGAGATTGTCTTTTGACCTTCAGGATTGCAAGCAGGGCCATGCATCTGCCTGCTGGGGTAAATTCAAGATCCCCAAAACGGTGGGCTCTGCATCTTGAATTTGTTCTTGACTTCTGCTGCTAAGCAATAACCAGCTTCTCGTCGCATCGCAGGCAACTCAGTCATCCGCCTTGCTGCAGCTACCGAACGAGCTGTTGCTCCTGATATTCAGATATACTCGCCTGGTTGGTGATTTGGCTCTGGCCCTCACCTGCAAGCGGCTGCTCGTGGTGTCATCAATGACGGCCATAAGGATCCCCTCTGCCGCACGCCACCGTGCGGTTCCTGACCTGAATTGCGCCGGAATGCTCAGACTGCTAAGAGTCATGGAGCCACCCAAAAGGCCTTCGCGCTGGGCTCTTTGCTGTGATTGCTATCGGTGGCGGCCAAAGAGACAAGTGTATTGGAAGAGTGCATTGAAGAAATATGCGGCGGAATCCTCTTCCAGGCTTCTGAAGGGCTATTGTCATGTTGTCGAGTCGTGGAGCCGCAAGTCGTCTCCATCTTACCAGTGTCCAGAGTGCTGGTGTGCAGAGCGCTCCAGAAAGTACGGGCATTGTATCTCGAAATAGCATACACCTGCCAAATGCAATTATGTCGAGAAGTAGGCTATCGGTCTTATCGTCATATTGAGACAAGATACTGGCCGAGACGTAATCTGACGCGTCGGTTCCGCAACGCGAAGCTGAAGCAGGTCTGCTACATTAGGCACCATTTTGTTAGTGTTCATCTAGAACACACCTACGACACGTATGAGTGCCCTACGTACGGTGTGGCGTTGATCGACGAGATGTACTTGAGGACCCCACGCGGAGGCCGTCCATGGTATCTATACAGAAGGGGGACGTTAATGAGAACCGTGAATCTCATGGGGAGTCATGAACTTCCGGGTGCGACCTCTACTAGAGTGTGTATGTGAATATAACTACGAATTACCCTATATCAATTACGCTTCCCGCAGTGTTGCCCGTGCCTCTTGTGATCAAAGACGAGGGGGCTTCCGATGTGCCCGTAGATGAATCCTCAACCACAACCACTTCTTCATGGCTTCCTGGGACGTGCCTTCGACCCAGTTCTTCAGAGCCTGTAACAACGCAAGTAGGACATGGGTCGAGACCCCGTCCTCCGTATTACCGATGGTCATGGACCCAAATACGCTGATTGAAGTCCCCACATCGCTGGCAAAGTAAACTCACCATACATGCCCGACAACCTGGACAAGTGGCAGACGCAGCGGACTAACACCACCAGCGCCACCAGAACCAGTAATGCCTAGGGCCGAGTGGGAGGGTGTACATATGTTGGTGCCGGGCGGCAGCCTGAATACTAAGTTGGTATAAAGGGTCTTGCTGTGGCATCTCTGGCTTCGTTTCAATGGAAACAGCGATCGGGCTCTGTTCAGCGGGGCGATAGCTTGTTTGACACCGCCGTCTTGACTAGCAACACGGAGTATTACTTGCTGGAGCTTTGCTGACCTTGACGTATCCATCACTAGGACATAATCGACCTTACCATCGTCACGCTTAGCTTTCACCGTTGGATTGTCTGTGAAGTAGGCGCTGTTGGTTGACACTGATGCGCTATCGTCAACCGACACGGAATCTGTGTTGCCCTTGAGAAATGGCAATCCGCAATGGTGATGACTGGGCTACCTGTGATGTTATGAGAACCTGCTTTACTTAGCAGAGATACGCGAGTACAGACTGGAGAGACGGGTTCAGCCTACGGATTGTGAAATCTTGAACGCATCCCAGTTGGCAGGGGCGTGCTTCCTCTGGCAATCCGCTATGAGATGTGCGTACATTACCAATAGCAAGGCGGTGCGTTTTCTGAGTTGATGCGTGTTCTAGAAGTGAAGATCCGCAATTTTCAACCAGCCCGTGCCATCGGGATCAACTCCTCGTCCTCCCTGGACTGCGCAAGAATCCATCCTCGTCAAAGGCACCAAAGAGAAGCCGGGTCAGATATCATTCTCAATAACATGGATTCTGGAACCAGATCAGCAGCTGCTCAGGTAAGGTCGTCTTCACCCGACTAGCCCCTGCGATCACGCTCTATGGGTGTAGCATCAGTAGCGGTGCAGCCCTCTGGTTCCCGCGTAGTGAGTGTAGGGCCCGAAAATCCAACTGTTTCCCGTGTGCTGTTTCTAGCGCAGACCCGATTCACGGCCGATCCGTAATCGTTCGGCGGCGTGTATAGAAGCAAGCCAAAAGCCGCATGCTAAACATGGTTTACTTCCAAGAACTACTGCTGGCAAGACTCGAAAACATATATGCTGGACATTTTTATGCACCTTGCCTGATATAACTGTATCACGCCGTCTTCTTTGTGCAATACTCTCCAGTGATACCCCCTTGCTCAATCCTGCTCCGATGGCATTCACCAAGCTCGAAAGAGATACTTCTTTCCTTCTGAGAGTCTGCACAAGGTAGAATGTATTAACACGTGCGTTGCTTTGAGAGACTACGAAAAGCAACTAAAGGCATTTCTAGAGTGCACACATGTACGGTTGCCAAATTTCTAGCAGCATTGGTTTTTCTCCAACGAAACGTTCACAGAAGATAACCGAGCACGAGAGACAGACGACGAACTCTAGACGTAACCCTTTGCAAGGTAGCGCGATAGTGCTAGTTGCTTTAGCTCACCACCTGCCAAAGTGCGAAAGGAGATCGGGGAACAAAAAAGATCAAGCGCAGGAAAGAGGAACCGAGTATGAGGAACCACTGAACAGAGCAGGAGTGTGCACTAGTTGGAAAAGAAGGTGTACGTGACCCTAAGAGAACAAGACTTGGAGCTCTAGTCATATTCGATATATCCCTGCAGACGCTGTCGATGCGCCTCTGATGAGCCGGGACCTGTTGAGCGTGGCTGAGCGGGGAATAACTGCGGAGCATTTCCGGGGCAAAACCAACCATGCTACATGTGAGGTTTTATGCAGCAACTATCGTCTCCAGCAACCCACCCTCTCTTCTCTATTGCTCACTCCCCGTGTAGCGCATAATCCAACAGCTTCGCATTTGCCAGTTGAATAAGCTGTGACACAAAATATCGACTGACGGGCCTGGGACAACTGTCTATACAGCAGAAGGGACGAAAGTGGAAAATACGAATCCTGTAAGGCATATGCGCCGGCTTGTATCTCAAATCACACGTGCTGATGTTATGGAAATGTATAAAGTTTATTTCTCTCTTCATAAAACTGTGCTTATTCTTCCGAAGCTTCCTTCCACAATAACTACGAGGACTGCAGGCCATTGTAGAGCGGACCACGCTTCCGAGAGCCCTCGGAGCAATCCGCACCATGTCTCCTCTTCATCTTGGATAGCTTAGAGACCTGTCGATGTTTAGGGGCTGGAATGAGGGCAACACGATCAAAGTCAATGACCATGACACGCCCACGCTCGACATTCCAGAGCAGATTGGCGTCGCGCTCGTCGCCCTGGTCAACGCCCGCGGCCCAGACAGCCTGCAACGAGCGCTGCCGCTGCAACTTCAAGTCTAATTCGCCCATGCATGCGTCCACTGCCATCTCGCCACCACGTTACCACCGCTTTTATCCCCCTACAGAAACCAATGCTGGCCTAAACCCGGCGAAGTGCACAGGTGAGAACACCTGATGATCCGCCGGGAAAAAGTCTGGTCATAAGCGCTTCCCTTTCAACAATTTCACGTGCTATTTAACCCTCTTTTCAAAGTGCTTTTCATCTTTCGATCACCCCATGACATGAGCATCATATGAACCACGCATACCGCGCCCGGTAGGATATAGCCCCTGTCCAGGTGTACCAGGCCCAGGTGCACAGGCACCACCCAGCCCTGGAGCGTATCTAGCCGGGCGTAGATGTCACACTCGTTCTGTAGACGTTTGAGCCTATCTGATAATGTCCCCTTACCAACGAACGTGTAGCCATATGATGGAACTTCGAGTTTAAACAGCACGCCTATCGCTCCGATCTTACCCCACCCGTCTAATGCTAAACAATCACGATACGGGTTTTCGCGCAGCCGCTCACTGACCAGGCGGGTAAACTGATCGGCAGTGATACAGTGCCGTATGCCGTCTCCGCCCGCGGTACGATGCGAGAGCACATTAGGGCAACCGTTATCGAGGTCCCATCCCTTCTTTAGGCCTAACAGGCATGCCTGTGAGCAATATTGCCTGGTAGGCGCTGAATCGCACGTCTTATCGCCTTCGTCGGAGCTGTTGTCAGACGAGCCATCCTTCCACTTACCCGCTAACCTTGTCCGTGGCGGAGGCAAGCCACCTTCTGGCCCATCTTCTTCTTCCTCGCTATCTTCATCTCGGCGAGGCAACCCCGGGGTCCCACACGATAACTTCGACCGCAGGGAGACGACCCTGCCAGTTGCGACTTCCTCGGATATAAAGTCTTCTTCTGCTTGTGACAACGGTGACGATGACGACTCCAGAGACGACTCCGTGCCCTCTTCTAAGAAATTCGCGGCATCTTCGTATGGCTCTGCCCATACCTTCAAGGCCACCTTCACGCTCCTCAATTCTGCTTCGAGGAAGGCTCCTTGAATCGCATCGGATTGAAGACTTAATAAGCAAAAGCTGGTTAGCTGTGCGACTGCTGTGTAGATCATTTCGTTGGCCTTGAAGACTCTATTCCGAACTACCCTTAATTACTCAGTTACCCAAGCACGATTCTCCATATGTATCTTTGATATTGTTTAAACCAGTAGAGGTTTCGTTACATGGGACATACCCCTTAGCGAGCCACCATTTTTGGCTTACTAAGTAAAGCTGAAGCTATTTATAAACGCTATTTTCAACTAAATGTATTAGAATTAAGCGTTGATTCCTTCTGGACGCGTTTAGTAAATGTGATAACGCCCCTAAAGACTTATTAGCGCTCCTTTTCACTTATTACATAAGCCTTTAGCTTATCTTTCCGGCTCTATTAATCTAAATCTTCGTCCTTCTATTTCTAATCTCCTATCATTTCTTAAAGAGATCCTTATTAACATTCTATAAGGCTAGATTATCTGCCAGAACTATCAGGTGAGTCTCAGCAGGATGGCGACCGGATACGGCCACAGGCTCCGCCGCTTAATTAGAAGGGCAGGCAGTTAATCACACAGTTTTAGACAACGACTAGTACGCCAGAAGAAGGCGAGAAGGAATGTGGTTGATGTAGTGGAGGCTGAGATACTTAAGGCTATGTATGATATGATAGCTAGCTGCCGTTCGCCCCTGAGAGCAGGCATGATCTAACAACCCGGATTTTATGGCCTATAAATTTCCCTAAGGCAGATAAATCAAAGGGTCGATAGGTTCTAATAAGGCCTCCATCAGGGACGATGCTTGGATAGTTCTAGAGATCCTAAACATGGTCAGGGGACGAAGCTGTAACTGAGCGTAATGTACTGCGAGTCGAATGATGAACGCCTTTATACTCAGCTGGTGATACATGAAAAGGAACAGAGTTGGTAGATACTCACGCCCACGTCCGCCCGATTGAACGTCATGGCCAGTCAACAAGTTAAGTTCAAAGAGAGACCCAAGCCTATTATTACCACTCCGCAGAAGGAACCCGGTTCTTCGCCCTGCTTTCTATATCCCCTAAAACCGTCCAGTGTACTGCTGCCACACGGGGGAATACTGACGTGGGGTTAGGGTTTTTGGGTGCTCGTTTTCGTTTTTTCCGGTTTCAGACGAGTTATGTAAGCGCGTTCTTGAAGGGTATTTAAGACCTTATGTACATAGTAACTCTCTTGAGAAAAAGATAGTAATTCAAGCGGCCTTTTCCACAGTAATCTGAACCAATTTCTCTTTACTTGGACAGGCATTCAATGTCTGACGTACCTGTTGAGGTACTTTTGTTGCCCCTATAGATCTGATTGTGCCTGTTGAGGCCATTGTTCCCATCTTTCACCTGTTGAGGTTCCTTTTCTTCCCCAGCCTGCTGAGGCTACAGTTGTTAGTACCTGTTGAGGTACTTGTCGTTCCGATCAGGGCAAGGAGCTCTTGATCTTGTTATTTCTTTCCACCTCCCGGATAGTAAGGTCTTGTTGAGGATCTTGTTATTCGTTGCCATCATCTTCACACCTTAAACCTGCGGGTGGTTTCACTGCCCGTCGTCAATACTCGGACCTTTCGAGTTGCAATCGCTTTCGTCAACGTAGAGATCCCAGAAGCGCAACGTCATAAATGAGGAGTACGGGGAAGCTACGCGTAAGCTCGACGAGGTGGAGGATTAATTGGAAGAGGATCCGAGCCAAGTGCCTGCCAATTTCCACGCTGATTTGCATAAAATCCAGAAGGGGTTCGACATTCAGTCTTCGGCGGCGGATCCCTTTGGCGTCGATGTCATGATAGATAATAACAACGTGGGCACATTTGCCGGGTCACTGGCGAAAGTTGAAAAACCTGCGCAACGGAACTCTGGTGAACGACGATGATTTTTCAGAAGCGGTAAAGGGATAGAGATGGAGCCCGCTTGGAGGAGTTTGATCAAGTGCTAGATGAAGCCTACGGTCCGACCAACCCCTTCGTCATCGCCAAAACCTCACCACTGAACTCCGATTCCCACTGTGAAGGTCTAGAGAGTTCATATAAGCGCCTCATGCGCGAGTGGAGACGCATAAGGCGTGAAGGCGAGCGTGCCCTGAGAAGCGGCAAGAAACTGCTTGCAGCCCCAAGCAGCAGCCCAGGATCTCGCCACCGCCTTTCTAGAGTCTACCGTGCTGCTTTCCACTCCTCATAATCCCTCAACCAAGACTTAACGGTCCTAATCTCCCACCTATGCGCCTCGCGGATAAATTGGGGCTCAGCAGACACATCTAGTATGCCGTAGCTATCCCAATGATGGCCAGCGCCGGTAATCAAGTAGCTTTCGGCGCCCTGTCCCGTCTTATCGGCTCGCGACGGTGCAAAGTTGGAATGGTACGTCAAGTCCAACCAAACATCCTGGTCACCGTCGATAAAAGCTAGCCTCGGCTGGCTGAAGTCGAAACCACCGTACTTTTCGTACTGCGTGGTATCCGGCGTAAGTGGGATGGAGTTATACATCCCGGCCGGGAAGGCCCAGGTGCACCACTGCTGCGCGTAGTTCGTATCGACAACACGGGACAGCAAGCTGGGCCCAGTTTCAGGCGCGGAGATGTAGGTACCTTGCTCGGTGCACGACGTGTATATGTATGACCTGGTGCCGCCGTTGGCGGTGTCGGCCCAGTACGTCGCGTTGTGCGTGCCAAAACAGTCATTGCTGTCGAGTTCGTAAGGCGGCGGGCAGAGGGGCAAGACCGTCTTTTTCACGTAGTCTGCGTAGCCGCCTAGACCATCCCAGGGAGTGCCATTGGTGTAGCTTGCTAAGGCGAAGTCGAGCTCCCGGACGGACTCGGGCGGGTCCGGGTCAGTCACGTTGCCGCAAAAGGCGAAGAAGTCATTGGATCCGTAGGTCGAGTTCCAGTTTAGCTCTTGCCATGTGTTGGTACTATAGAACCCTGGGTTGCCGATAGGGTAGTTAATGGTTGTCGCGAAGTCGCGGAGAGCCGTTAGGGATTCGAGGCCAAAGAGGGATTGGAAGTGCTGGATGGCGGATGTATAGTTGTCCCGCACCAGGGCATCAAAATTATCGACTATGGCGTTGATGCGCGCGATGCAGTCCGTTGGTCCGTACTTCTGGATCGGGTCGTACCAGTCCGGATACGCCTGCGTGACCACAATAGGCGCACTGGATGCGATGCCCCCGTACAGCACGTCGCCGTATTCCTTGATGGAAAAAGCGGTTTGCGCCCCAGCCAGACTACCGCCGTACAAGATCCAGGGCGTGCCCGGTGCCGTCAGATCTGGGTTCCCGGTGACATTGGGGAATACGGCGTTCTGCGCAAAATAGGCATTATCGGCAATGGTTTGCTCTGTTGTCAAATACGCCAGGTGATCCGTCGTGCTGTCGTTGAAGGGGTAGCTGGTGCCGTAGTATCGGTTCTCTAGGATCACGCCCAGGCCGTTGGTCTCTTGCATTAGAATCTGGATTATGCCTGTTTGTAGGTTGGACCAGCGGCTTCGACCGCTGGTTTCCCCGCCGATGTAGAGAAATACGGGCCCGCCAGGCTTGTAGTACGAGTAGTCGTAATAGTAAGTTTGTTTGAACGTTCCTTTGTCGTAAGGGGCGTAGCGAGAGTTGTTGGGGAAATGATTGATAACTTGGTCGAAATAGTTGGCTGGGTACGTTAGTTGTGCTCGTGACCCAGGATCGTTGTCCCTCGTTGCTAATGTAGTCCTCAAGTCTCTGATGGCATTGGCCGATGCCACGGCCAAAAGGCATGCGACTGTTCCCACGAATCTCATCTTGGTCAATTGAATATCAATTGAGATGGCGCTGCATCAACTCTAATACTGGAATTGGCACACCTGCACATATCACTGCAGCGATGGAAACGAATATCCTTCCAAATATAAGTGGGAGATGGAAGAGACCTTGGCAAAGACTCATATTGGAACCGCGTATATATGTATGCAACTTGAAGGCAACTCGGCTAATGATGCGACGCTCGGGAATACGAGCTACATGATGGCGAATCAGTATGTTCCTCGGTAGGTATTGCTACTTTCCCGATAAGTCCGATTTTCCCACGTAATCAGTCAAGAAGACTTGCAGGGTGTAAATTCGCGAAATTGGACCAAACAGGAATGTCAATAACTAGATCAGGATACATCTAAAAACTTGTTAATTAGAGGTAACGTACCACACAAGCAAGTTGGCCACTTTGTCCCAAGCCTCGAGACAACCCAACCACTTCAACCTGGTTGCCAAAGGTTGACGTCAACCAGCCAACCCAACCCAATTCTCTAGACTTTGGTTGCCAAGGCATATCGATTTGGAGACTTGGTTGGGGACTTGATTACGAAGTGGTTGCTGTCAGGTTACGGCCTGGACCGAAGGCGATAGTACAGAGTGAAGGGGAGAAATAGGCGTGTCCCCCTGGTGGTCACCTGGTGGTCACTGGTGGTCACTTGGTGATGGCAGGTAGGGGTGTCCACAGTAGTTCATTGATCTCTGCCCTCTCTATCTTCCTCCGTCTCGACTCCTTACTTATAGCCAGCCGAGGTTCTCTCTTGGATTCTGGATGTTTGCTTCCGTATGTCTGTGTTCCTCCGACTTCGGCCAATATCTTGGATAGCGGCTCCTTATCTGCAACCAAGCGATTCCCTATCCGCTGCAAACGGCTTCAACGGCTCTCATTCGCCACAAGCGGCTCTCTAGCCGCCACAAACGGCTTCCTTCCTGGTGGAAGCCGGCCCGCCTCGGATGACACTTGTGGCTCTGACAGTTGCTGAGTTAAGGGCTCACTATTCTTAGCATTTTGCACGTGCTAGAGGCCCCTACCAGCCCTGTAGGAACTTTCGCTATCATCTCGGCGGTCCTCTAGCGCTCAAGTCACCGAGTTCTACGGAATCCGGGATAAAATTAGCTACTTCACCATCGACAACGCGGGAAATAACGATATATAGGTCAAATAGCTTGGCTAACAGCTTGGTTTCGATAGACGGCGCCGGTGAGGTCAACAATAACCTCATTTCCGGCTAGTTATAGCAACTACCTTAGCAACCAGTCAACCTAGCCCAATATGGATGGCAGGTTGGTCAACCTAACGATCATCTTGCTTACTAATTTGATTGTTAACCTTACGGAAGGGGATAGTGAGGTTGGTTGGGTTAACTCGAGGCTTGCTTTGTCTTAGCACAGTACGAATAACTTCACTAACTTAACCACAACCAAAAAAATCAATTGGAACTGATTGGAATCCTCTTCCTCGTACGCATATTTTATCATTCTAACAAGTACGAACATTATGTCCGGGCTCTCCGTAGATCCTACAGCGCTACCGGCGTAGTTCGGCCGGTCTTGTACGACGATCGTTAGGGAGCTATTATTATACTATACGATTCTAGTTTTAACGTACTTAGATTAGGATTACATCTCGGTTAGGTTATTTCGAGTCTTCACCTCTTAGATACTATACTTCGTAATTGTATTTTGTACGAGCGTAAACCACGCGTATTTAAGCAATTAGGGGTAAGGTGCTTGATTGACTGGTCATGTGAGTGGCTTGTGGAGTGTCTGTAATCCAACGCAAGTCTTACAGGCCTTGCAGGGACCCCCAGCACGGTCAAAATATCTATTTAAGCCTTGGCAACCAAGGTCCGCAGAATGGTAAGGGTAGTCGTGATAATCCACACTAACCCTGGCTCACCAGGTTAGGCAAGTCCGACCTTTGGTGCAGTTTAACAGCTTCATAGTACAAATAGACCTGAAGGATATTTCAAAATCGCTACAATCAAGAAAACTAAAGGAAATAACGGAAGAAGAATTCGAATGCCTGAACTGAAAGAATCACAGACAACATACTTCCGGCAAGTCATCTGGCGGGCTTTAGATTATATACTTGCATTTAGTCAAGCTACACACAGCCGTACCCAGTCACACCTACAGATAGTATACTTGGGTCAATTCCGGTGTAACTTGAGGTCGCAGAATAAAAAGGACATATATTAATCAAAGAATTCACCCAAATTGGTCAGACACACGTGTGATACAACAGCATTCTGAATTCTGTTTTCCGGTACCTAGCGATATAAGATGCTACTATGTAGGTAAAACAGTCATTGAGGGATGAGACGGAAGTAGCCGAGGTGGAATTGGTAGTATTATGACTACTGGATAACTATTTTCTGAAGGGAAAGACCAATCGTCTGCACCGCCCTTCAAGACTATCTATGTGTAGGCGCATAGAGGGTGTAGCCCTGGAAAACCCTTCACCTCATGGTTGTACCGATACGTCCAATACCATAGCTGGTACAAGCCACTAATGGGCCACAGCGCCCATCAGATCCATGTCCTCCCAGTTAATAAGTGCGTTGGAGTAGTAAAAGAGCTACTATGTGGGAATTGATTGACTAGAAATATTCCAACTATCCAAAACACTTTCGTGGGATAAATACAACCTACAGTGGCGTTATAATGGACCCTAGAGTATGCACCCTCCCTGAGAAACCTTCGCCAACCGAAATAACAGTTCCTAACAAAGTTAGTCCACTTCGTGGGCCGTAAAATTGCTAACATACAATAACAACAACAATCCCCCCTCACTTGTATTCAATTTTTGGGTTCTGCTGGTAGTACAGTCAATTGTTGCAATTCAACTATGGTCCATTTTCCGCAAGAAATACACGATAACATTGTGTCTTTCGTCGAGACGCGCATCGGCGAGGCCAGCGTCCCTTTCTGGGAGCGCAATAACCTTCCACTAGCACGACCTCCACTGGCGGCAGTCTCCCGCAAGTTCCAGCGCGCCGTCGAACGCCTCACCTTCCGCGCCTTGGACACCAAGCCCGCTGACCTGGACGATCTGGAACGCATCTTGACGCCGTCACGGCAGCGCTTCTTGAAACATATGTCCTTCGAACTTTCTGTGCCATCATATCCTCCCAGAATTGGATCGGATGACTATGGAACGGATAGGGCACGCCGCGCCAACGAGGAGGCTGCGACTGCGATGGTGCGACGTTTGTTTCGCATCATGTCCTCGTGGAGCCCGCAGAGTAGCGATGAAGACTCGACACCGTCAGTTCACTTCCGCCTCTCGGGCACCAGTCCGACGGATGGTAAGTCTCATTTCCGATCGCCGGCATACTTAAAACTATTGGGCCGGAATATGTGACCGCAAGTATTTGCAGTAGAGAAAACAACCTGGCGGTCTCAGTTCCTGCAAATTAGATTGTCATGATTGCGTCTTTTTGTAGTCAGGTTAAATACATGAAACGCTGACCTAATGCCGCAGACTTGTTGGAAGAGGGCCATGACTATTCCATGCTAGATCTAACAGACATGGCCCGGGACTTTCCACCTCTGCCTTGCGTGAAAAAATTTGAGATTGCCAACGGCGCTCGCGTATGGCATCCTCGTGTGCCCGTCGTTCTCACGTCCAAGATGGCGCGATCGGCAGAGGTAGAATGGGATCTTAACGTGCCAGAGGCACCATGGGATAGATACTACATTATGAACCAGAACTGGCGAGATGGCCTCGTAGAAGCCCTGCTTCTTCACCCCGCACTCCCAGCAACAGTCAAAGACTTTTCCTGCGCGCTGCCGGCACCTCTCTGCGAGGATATGAAGGTGGACTCCCTGCCTGATTTCATCTCACCCCAGAACCACGACCCTGTTGGCCTCGTCCTGCGGCGCTTCACTAGAGACTGCAGCGCGATCAGCCTCGACGTCCCAGTGCACACCTCCTTTTTCGACCCTCCGCCGAACTGCGCAGATGACGAGCCGTGCTGGCAAGCTGTCGAATATTTCACGGTCAAAGCCAACTGGTGCGGCCCGGACGGACGGTGGCTTTTCAAGGACAAAAACGGCGCAACGCTGTCCAGCGACGAGCCCCTGCTCTTCATCAACCCGCAGCTGCCCCCGGGCTACCAATCAACACCAGCCGAGCTGCAAGCGGCGCTCGAGTACGGCGACGAATGGATGTGGGGACGCGAACTGCCGGATCCTAACTCTGACGAGGCAGCCGCGAACCAGGTTCATCGATGGGTGCCGGACGATGCGCGTGTCAATGCCCTGCTGACAGCGTTTGCGCGGGCGTGTGGGCGCATGCTCGCCTTGCACATGGCCAGCCTGGACATCCATTACAGGAGCAGCGAGAACTGGCCGTTGGCTGTTCACTGCGCGGCGCCTGGGAAGTCGATTCCGGGTCGGAACTGGGATGAGAAATATGCTACTGGTGGGACTGCCACGTGGCGCATCTTCATACACGCGGAGAATGGGTGGCGGCCCGACGAGCCCACGCTGGAAATCTTCAGGGCGATTGGAGGGGACCGAGGTCGCGGTGATGCGGTAATTTGTTTTCTGGACTGGGGCGACTGTTAATTCGGAGTTTGGTTCACTTTAGACGAACAAATGGCCTAGTCAAAGGTGTCTCAAATGAAGACGAGATATTTCAGACTAATATATAAGAATGACCTGGTATTCAGAGTTAATAGCCCACTAGTTTCGACCTTGAGCTGAATGTCTAGGCAACCCCAATACAATACCAATACCCAGCCCAGAAGCTACTCCCACAATTCTCACCTGTCGATCCCAACAGGGTATTCCACGCATACAGCTCCGCCAGGGTAATTCCATTCAGGTCTGCGAATGCAGAGCACCAGTCCCCATCAGCGGCCTGCCCGTAGGCGACGCAATTGCTCACCGCGTTACCCTCCTGGACGGGCGACGGTACACTGGGTGTGGTGGTTGGAGCAGCAGTCGTCCTAGTCGTGGTCACAGTCGGTGTATCATCAGACACGCCGACGCAGTAAGCGTAGCCCAGCCAGAAGTTGGTGCTACAGTCGGCCGAAACAGCAGGGTTCCAGGCGAGGAACTGCGGGGCTGTGATCGAGTAGGCCTGTTCGATGCTGGTGCACGTATCGTCGTCAACTACGACGTGCCACTCGTCGCAGTTTGCTGGCTGGCCTGTGTGTGTGGCTGCAGGTGGGCCCGTGGTCGTGGTTCGTGATGTTGCTGTCGTTGTTGCCGAGGCCGTGGTAGTGCTGGTTACGGGCGATACGTAATCGGCGGCGCGGATGCAGTATGCGTACTCTGAAACGGTGGTCAGCCAGCTGGAAAGCGACAGAAAAAGAACAAGACAAAAAGGGCTAACTCACCAGGCCACAGTCCACTGCAATCTGCGCCCACCACGGGGTTATACTCGTAGAATTGCGCGATCGTTAATTCATAGTTGAGCAGGATATCCGAGCAGTCCCAGTCAGGCCACGCATCAGCATACTGGGTACAAGTTTCGATAGAACCCGCCTAGATTTGTTCGACGTCTGGTTAGCAAATTTCCCATCCCATCAGTACACATCGTGCCTGCTACAGCAACTCACCCGGATTTCAAACTCATAGCCCACCCCCTCGTAACTCGGCAACGCATCCGCATACCTCAACTTTGCACAATACCGCAGCTCAGCAGCCATATCGCACTCGCCGGCCGTCAGATTCCCCAGCGCCGAGTTCCACCTAGAAAACTCATCCAGGCTCACGGCCCACACGGCAGCGGCGAACTCGCACGCGTTGGCGTAGCTCGTACCGGATATATCCTCGTCCAAAACCTGCGCGCCGTCAAAGTACCGCGCGCAGTCCTCGCGCGTGCCCACGGCCAGCGGCAGCTCCGTCGACACGTAGATGGGCGCCGAGGACGTGGCCACAGGGTCGAGACTGGTGATGGGCGTGAAGGGGATGGTGGCCGTCGGTGTGGTGGTGGCGGAGGCCCCCGGACGCCCGGGATACGTGTTGATGTCGCCCACGGGCAGCACGCAGTAGCTCTCGTAGGCATACAGATTGGTGCAGTTCTCGTTGATGTCCGGGTTCAGGAGCGTGAAATCGGCCAGCGTGAGTCCGAAGCGCAGCACGATCAGGTTGCAGTACTCGTCCGGTTGCACCTGGTAGTACTTGCCACAGTTGGTGACCACCCCCGGCGCCACGTCCGTGGGGATGGGCGCTGACGTGGTCGCGATTGTCGGCGCGAGGACCGTGGGCTCTGGGTCGATGTAGGCTATGCCCGGGACGCCGATGCAGACTTGGTCGTTTACCAGACGGTCGAGGTTAGAGCAGCCCGAGTTGATGGCCGGGTTCCAGCTCTTCAGGGCGGCTTCCGTGATGTTTGCTGATCTGGCGATGCCTTTGCATGTGTCGTTGGCTTGCACCGTGTACACAGAGCACGTGTTGACCAAGCAGAGCGAGCCTGAGCTTGGAAAATCGGTGCAAAAAGCGGCCAGATTATTATCTGATAAAAGCCATGCCGTGCCTATGCCCTGTGAGATGGATACGCTATGGCAGTCATCCCCAGCCTGGATGTCGTATATCTTCCCAGCGCATGTCATGCTTGTTGGTTCTGCCGGCGCTGGTCTGTTCGTAGCTTAATTAGTTTATCTTTTTCCAACGTGGAATAGAGGCGGGGGCTCAACATACACAGTGAATGGCAATGTCGACGTGGTGCGCGGCATGTCGCTAACCTGACAACTGGACGTCTTGGACTCGTAAATCGAGCTGCTCGCTAGAGCAGGGCCGTCATAATAGGACGAACCTGCTTGCATGCGAAGGCTTTTGATGAAGCACATATCGCAAGCTTCTGCGGCCGCTGTGGTGTTGTCGACGGTACCTAGCCATCCCGATACACCATCTATATAAAAATGTCAGAACCAACTGCCTGAAGTTGCTGGATCAACTGTGTACACCCCCAAAACAAAAAAAACAAAAAAAGCTGGAAACCAAGATAGAGAAATCTAAGAGGACCTTACCGCCAGGATCAGCCAAAGCAGCATTCGCCCCGGCAACGACATTGCAGAACCGTTCCTCGTCCTGAAGACAAGTCATCTCGTACAAGTACCGCAGCACATTGGGGATCACGGCGACGGGCATGTCGGCCTCGCCGTCGTCCCTGTAACCATCCCACACGTCGCCCGCACACGCCGCCACAACGGCGTCCTCGAAGGCTTTCAGCGCGGTTCCGCACGGCAACGTACACGTCTTCTCCAGCAGCGCCTGCGGGTAGAAGTAGCCGTATCGGAATTTGGTCACCATAAGGTTGCAGTCCGCCACATCGGCCAGGAGAGCTGCCTGGCAGTCCGACGAGAGGCTTGTGGGAATGGTGGATAGGGTATAGAGCTCTACGGCCGGGACGAGCTGGACCCAGACCAGGCCGAACATGATGGCCCAGATGGACTGGCGGCTTTGTGCATTGCGGATTGTCATGTTGGGAAGATAGGAAGACGGACTTGAGTGAAGGAATACACCTTCGGTGGGAAACGGCTTAGATCAGGGCATGTGATCTTGGAAATGGATCTCTTTACTTAAGTATCTGAAGCAACGAGAAGTCTTTTCAAGCCGTGACTCGAAGACAAAAGGATCCTACCGTCACGGCGACAAAGGCAAACCGTACATCCAACTTGCAATGCAAATTACACAGTAGTGAGATCTCACTGTACTCCGAGAAACAGGGGTTGGTGCAACCAGATGAAAGCGAAGTCGAGGCCCTCCTGCTTCTAAGATTGCTCAACCATTGCGGGCTTTCAGCTCCGCAAAACCAGCCGTCTATGATACGATGGACTGGATAGATGACTCGCCGAATATTGAAAGTCATGGGTAAGGACCAAATTACATGTGCACCAGGATCCTTTCCGGTGTATTTGATGGTCATGAGTATACCCATAAGTTTTGTCTAGATGGCCAGCATCTTCTGTATCCAGAGACTCAATGGCGCTAACGAGGCAGGCCGTAATCCTAGTAAGGACATCGTGCTGAGGTGTGTATAATCCTTGACAAGTCATATTTGAAAAACTGTCGACTTAAAGTAGCAGTGCCAAGAGGTAGCATCGAGTCTGTAGTATTGAAAATCCATCACAGCGGTAGATTTACTAATTTATCATGAATGTTAGATGATAAGAACAATGAAGCCAGCAGCAAAGAATTCCTGAGTTTTTGCGTCCATGGATGTCGGAGATCTGCGTCAAAAAATCCACTGTAGCTGCTTTCAAGGACTTAAGCTTAAATCAAGTGGTTTATTGGGGAGCCTCTCTCGCCATGTGTATATAATAACAAACCAAAGGGAAAGTGCTGAATAGGGGGCTGACGCTAAAAGATGACACGCCAAAAAGGGCCGACCCCTAGAAAATCCCGCTTAGCATGCCATTTTCATTGGATTCTTCGCTGTGCCGCACCTCTGATTCGAAAGGTTTTGCGGATCTCGGGGCCTGCGCTACTTGCTGATTGCAGCAGAAGGCACTTATGTAACACAGGCTGCCCAGGCGAGTACGACGTAAAACACTCGATTTATTGTACCCACATCCCGTATAGGTTACTTCACCCGGTGATGCAGAAGCAATTAATACACTCGGGCGAGGGACAGGATGTAACCTCATCTCGGAATTCCCACCTCTTCAAGTCGAATGCAAGACATCATAGTATCAGATACCGTTTTTAGATAAAGTTGTAGTCAGATGAACCCCGGTTAGAAATTCTATACGTGAGACAATGGTTGACGGAAGAATTATTATTGTGTATTAAGGCTAAAATTCTACTTATGACTTGAGTACCCCATGTCTGATGGCCAGAAAGTTATTTTTGATCCCAAATATTGAACAGAGCGGGATGTTATCTTGCATATGAAGGAAAAGTCTTGGTAGTCAGACTCGGAGATTGAATTGGCTAGCCTGATGCTTCTCACACTTGTAACATTCAGGTACGGGCCGTACGCACGGCAAAGTGAGGCAGGACAAAGGGAGTGTAGAAATGGATTGGCAACAAACGCAATCGTGTCCGGAGTCTGGACTCAGTTCGATAAAGCCCGTAGGTTACAGATGCATAGGTTCAGTCTGCTACACCCTGGATCTCATATTTGTACATATATGTAGCCTTGTAGAACCGTTGATCCAAACAAAAGTCATGTTTACTTCGTGGCAGACTTCTAGTGAATAGTTCCCCTGAACCCCCATGCTACTTTCTAAACATCGCCGACAATATGGTGGCCTCGAGCACCATCCACCTAGCTGGTCTATTATATGCTAGTGCCCACATTGTGACGGCTCGGCCACCTCAACAATCTCATTCACATTTCCATTCTTCTCACCCAGGTTTGGAACTTCGGAACTCCTGCCGGAATCTAGTATCGTAAGTTCATCACTATTATATTGTAAACGTCCGCATGATTGATAAATCACAGTCCATTCGACTACTCAGCAAAAGTCCGAGCCAGAGATGAAGATGACTTGCCACTGTGCTTTCTGGCCGAGGCACCCACCTCGGATCTTTTGCTCGGTGTGCGCCAGGCGGCGGCCGAGGACGACTACTCGTGCTCGGAGAACAAGCCTTGCAGCAACGGTAAGTCAGGATGCCCTCTTAGTGGCGTCAGTGTAAGTGGAAACTCATCTCAGATTCCCAGGGGCCTGCTGTCCGAAGGCGACTGGCTACTGCAACTACGGCGAGGAAGCGTGCGGCACCACGGGCACGAGCCCAAACGATGTCTGCTGGTCCAACTGCGATGCCTACGCAGAATGCGGCCGGGACGCGCTGGTACCGGGGACCGAGTGTCCATTGAACGTGGTGAGTATTTGTTATTCATGAGCACATGACATCACAAAACCTGGAACTTCATAAGACCTTGTGCTAATCAGTGAATATCCCACTTGCAGTGCTGCTCCAAGTTCGGCTTCTGCGGCATGACTTCTGAGTTCTGCGAAGTGACGGACGACGAGGAGACCAGCTGCCAGAGCAACTGCAAGCAGCCCGGATCCGGGGCCTCAGACAGCAACGTGCGACAGCGCATCATCGGGTACTACGAGGCGTGGGCGCACGACCGCGAGTGTCAGAACATGAACTTCAAGGACATTCCCGTCGGCGCCTTGACACACGCCTACTTCTCCTTCGCCTTCATCACGCCGGGCACCTACATGATCGCGCCCATGGACGACCTGAGCCCAGACCTGTTCGAGGACTTCACGGCTATTAAGCAGGGCAACACGGGTCTTAAGGCCATTATTGCCGTCGGCGGTTGGAGCTTCAACGATCCGGGCGCCACTCAGACCGTGTTCAGCGACATGGTGGCCAGTCCCGAGAGCCGCAAGACATTTATTGGTAACCTGATGGGGTTCATGCGCAAGTATGGCTTTGACGGCGTCGATTTCGACTGGGAGTATCCTGGGGCCGACGATCGGGGCGGCAAGTCTTCGGATGGCGAGAATTTCGTCACTTTCCTCAAGGAGCTGGACGAGGTCAACAACGACCAGCCTGAGAAGTACGTTGTGTCATTCACGGTGCCGACCAGCTACTGGTATCTGCGGCACTTTGATCTGACCGCTGTTGACCACGTGGACTTTGTCAATGTCATGAGCTACGATCTGCACGGCATATGGGACTCGACCAACCCCATTGGGAGCCATGTTTATGCGCACACAAACCTCACCGAGATCAAGGACGCGTTCGATCTCTTCTGGCGGAACGGCGTTAAAGCAGAAAAGCTGAACCTGGGTCTCGGGTTCTACGGCAGAAGCTTCCAGCTGTCGGACCCGACGTGCTACACGCCGGGTTGTATGTTCAGAGGAGGTGCTTCGCCAGGACCTTGCAGTCAGAACTCAGGAACGCTGACTTATCGCGAAATCATGGATATCGTCAAGGATAAAGACTTGGAGCCGTACTATGACGAGGAAAATGCTGTCAAGTATGTTACGTGGAACGAGGACCAGTGGGTTTCTTATGTAAGTTTCTTTTATTTTCCTCCTCCCCCTCTTCCCCCTTTTTTCCTTTCACCAAACGCGAACTTAGATTAGCCGGGACAACTAACAACTTCCTGGTTCCTCTCTCCAGGATGATGCAGAGACCTTCCAGCAAAAAATTGACTTCGCCAACGACCTTGGCCTCGGCGGCCTGCTGATCTGGGCGCTGGACCAAGACACGGACAACTTGGAAGCGCTCACGGGCGTCGTCGGTGAAGGTAACCTGCGCCTGTTCTCTAAGCAGGCCGCCAACGCCGATACCATGGAGGGCGTGTCGGTGCCCGACTGCTACGTGACTGACTGCGGCGGCACCTGTGATGCGGGCTTCCTCAAGATTGAGAACCAGCCGTGCGGCAGCGCTACCTGGCTCACGCGCCACTCGACCGAGTCGGACAGCCTGTTGTGTTGTCCGCTGGGCGGCGCCCCGAGCGCCAGCGATTGCGAGTGGCGCGGCACAGCGCCGAGCTGCAACGGACATTGCCACGAGGATGAGGTTGCGCTGGAGCTGAACCGCTGGGGTGATGGGAAGTATTGCGAGGATGGCAATAAGGCGTACTGCTGCAAGACTTCTCTGGAGAATGAGTGCTACTGGACTGGAGAAGGGCAGCGGTGTAATGGGGATGATGTTGCTTTGGTATGTTGCTCTTTTCTGGCCGTGTCCCTTTTCTTGTATTGCCCCTATTCTCAGCCCTACTCCTTTTCGATGAGACCACAAGTAGTCCAGAACTTGAATAACACGCGAACAGACATTCGCCGGGACATTCCTGCAGAGACTGGCCGACATCGCTGGCTTCTCAGGTCTAATCGGCCTGCTCCTGGAGGACGCCCTCAATGAAGCCAACATCGAGCTGCTCAAGCTCTACTGCTGCCCCAAGGACCAGATCGACTCGTGGCAGAACTGTGCATGGCACGGCGAGGAGGGCAGCTGCTTCGACAACCACTGCCCGACGGGCCACTCAGTGCAGCTGACGGATAATGCCTACGGAGAGGGCATCGACTGCGGGATCCGACTGGAGCGCACGCGCGTCTTCTGCTGCGACCCGGCCGACAATCAATCACCTTTCCTGCCCGTGGAGTTGGGCAAGCTGTTCCCATCCCCGCCACAGGGCGACAACGTCGACACCGATTACGAGCTCAGCACGGACGAGACCTGGGGCACCAGCCGGGACAAAAACGGCGGCGATGACGACGAGCCCGACAACGCGGCCTTCCAGTTCGTTGTTTTGGCGTCCCCCGAGGAGCTGCAGGTCTCGCTCGACAAGCGGGACGGCTCGCACTGGGACCTCAACTGCTACGACGCCGATCCCGTCAGCGAAGAACCGCAAACCATCCAGATGGTGTGTACGGACATGTCTGAGAACAGCAACTGCCACAAGATCGGTTTGGGTAAGGGCGTGCCGGGTACCATCCTGCAGATGCCCGAAGGCTGCGGGCCGGGAAAGTATGCCGTGGCCGTGGACATGAAGATGGCCGAGAAACAAATCCTGCCACGCAAGTTTGGAGGGCTGGCGCATAAGCCCATTATTTACGACTTGACTTTTGATTATGACTTCAGCCGCGTGCCGCGCGAGGAGGGCCAGGACACGCAGATGCGCGTGGATTTCAGCAACGAGCCCGGGTACTGGGACACCATCGTGGCCGCCGCGGCGTCCAAGAAGCGCAAGAGTAAAAGAACGCTCGAGGACGTCGGGGGGGACCACGTGCGCTGGCTCGAGGAAGAGTTCCGTGACGATTTCCACCTAAACAGCGGGCTTTTCACTCGAGAAATACACGAGCGTTGGTTCGGCTCGGGCATCATCGCGTGGCTGACGGAGATGCTTAGCCCGACCATCAGCAAGGAGTTCAAACACGTGCTGGACAACACGTACACGCTCAACATCATCGACGCCGAGTGGGACTGCCCGCTGCACAGCGGCAGGCTTCTGGCGCAGGCCGAGACCAACGTGCACGTCGAGACGAGCTTCGGCTTCACGCTGGTGTGCCGTCTGCTGCCCGAGATCGACCTGAGCGACTCATTCCTGACCTTCACCAACAACGGCGAGATCACCGCCACCTTCCGGCTCGAGGCGTATCTGGATCTGCATTACGACTCGCTGGAGAAGTCGCTGATCCGCATCCCGTTCCCGGGCGCGGCATTTAAAATTCCGGGAATCGCCCTCATCGGGCCGGCGCTGCACCTCAAGGGCCGCATCGAGGCCGGGCTGGTTCTCTCAGCCGTGATGGAGACGCAGGTCGACATCGCGTCGTGGGAGTTCCAAACGACACTCCCGCCCAACGACGAATACAAACCCGAGGAACCCACTAAGGCCGGCTGGGGTGACACGGGCGACTTCAACGGGGTGCAGTATCCGCAGTTCTACGCGGGCGTCACGGCCGACGGCAACCTCAAGGCGCACGCCATCGCCGCCGTCGAGTTCGGTATCAGCTTCGACACGCGCTGGAACGTCGGCGGCGACGCCATCGCGAGCGTTGTGGCCGACGGCTGGGTCGAGGCCAAGGCCCACTCCGAGTTCAACACGGTGGCTAGCTGTCCCTTTGTGTGGGGAGTGAATGTCGGTGTTGATCTATACGCCCAGGCCCAAGCTCCGGATCTGTTCAACTGGAAGATGGATAAGTTCCCACTGCCTGGGAGCGGTATGAAGAGCATCATACCCATGGATGAGTGTCCCGGCACGAGCGGCGGCTTGCCTGAGGAGAAGAGAAAAAGGGGGCTCAGCAGTGTTTCTCTCCGAAATGAGATTGCCCAACCGAGCCAGGACACTAGAGAAAATTTCAATAACGGCACATTACTGAACAAACGAGCCAAGGTCGTCGTCCCGGCCGTCATCGTTATTCCCGCCCAGAAGATGCTGTGTCCTGAGGCCAGCCAAGGAGGAAAAACATCGACGGCTTGCGAATTGATCAAGGGCTGGGAAGACGATCAGTACACCTCTGCGCTCCGGAAACGGGAGTACACGGATGGTGGAGAAGAACACCTGCACAAGTGGGATCGCCGCGTCACAGATTCGAGCAGGACGACCAAGGCGTGTCTTTCCACCTACAAATCGTCTGGAGGGATACCATTCCTGGCGCCGCCGTATGATACCAGCGGGACATTAAATACTGTGAGTGCCCCCATTAGTGATTTCCCCCAGCACAAGACACGAGAAGTGAGTAATTAATAACTGGGCATCCAGAAAGTGACAAACGTCAAGGTCTACGGCTACGTCCAGCCGGGCGTGTGCAACAACTTCGACTTTGACGGGAACAGGGACTACCCCGCGGCAGCAGACCTCGAGGACGGCTGGGCTACGGAGCACATTCTCGAGCTGCAGCTAGTGAGCCAATTCTTCGACAACCTGCAGTCGCGCCTGGGCTCCTCACTCCCTAACTATAACCCGGGCGGCAACGGCAAGCAGAACATGTGCCAAGTTCTGCGTACGCTCTGGCAGGGCGTCACAGAAAACCAGCGGCCCGTCTTCGACGGCAAGACGCGCGACCCGGTGAACCACGTGCTGGCCGTGCTGCCGGGCAACGACAACAACTACAAGAACGAATTCGTACTGCTTGACAGCAGCGTCAACACGGCCAAGGAGCGCATGTTCAGCGGCGACGCAACTATCCAGAACGACGACACCATGAGAGGCTACGACGGCGATGGCGACCGCGCCGTCAAGAACCTTAAAGATGTCATGACTGCCATGAAGTACCTGCAGGACAGTACCATCGCTTCACATCTTCTAGCTCAAAAAGTGCGCATCGGCGACCGCCTGCGTGATTTGGACACGGTAGCCCTGCCGGCCATGCGCAAGACGAAGTTGACCGGCGCAGCGTACGGCGTCTGGCAGCCCATGGGCCTCGAGGCGCTGTGGAATACCTTTATGCGCGACAAGGGCGCGACGGCGCGGTCCAAGGCCATTTTGCACATCGATACCCACCTGGCAATACTCAAGGAGGGCTTTGTGAATGACTTCAAGAAGGAACAGGCCGCTACACAGGCGGCGCAGGGTGATACGGTGTTGCAAGACCTCATTGAGAAGATAGACAAGTTGGATGTTGAGTGGGCGAGGTATAAGCCCAACTCGTGGACGAATCCATTTTAGATTTTGGGAGGTAAGGGGAAGGAAACACGTACCAGTTGTTCTTCAATTTCATTTGGCGTACCCGAGGGTAATGATTCAACAATATCGAAATTGCTAAAGTCTGGGAGCCTCAAATGTTTGAGCCCATTTTAGCGCGATTAATCGAACATTTGCAATAACACCGTATATTATCCATGTGCGCTTGAAAAGCTTCGGCTAGTCGCCTAACCTTCTCGATCCCCTCTCTTAAAGTCAATACGCTGGCATTTATCCAGGGGATATGATGCTCTTCGAACCTGGAAAAGCTTTAGTCGTGTAAAACTTGCTCACGCTACTACGTAGTAACATGCGCATCCCCCGTTCAGACTAGCTGAGCTTCGCACAAGACGAGTCAGCTGTTGTCCCAGCCCCTGTCGCTGAGAAGATCGCGGCTGTGAAGCACAATCTGTCGACACAGGAGCTGCTCGCTCATATCCATGCCGTCACTTAGTCCAAAGTCGATGTCTGGATGCCAGGATGCTATCGAGCATCAAGGCAATTCTAGAGCGGGCTGTCGAAGCTCACCGTAGATGCTCCCGCTGGTACAAAACGGTTAAACCTGGGAGTGTTCAGCTGGATGAGGGAGGTGGGAAGGTACGGCCAAGTACAGGGCTACAAAACCCCGCCCCAAAACCAGAAGTAACCATCATAGAAGAAGAAAAAAAAAACATCTTTTTTTTGGTCTTCATATAAATCTGAGGGTGGATACCAGTACTAACCTCGTCAACTTACGTTTTTGCAAAAACAAATTTCGATAGAACCTGTTAAGAATCATCAAACCATGATCTATTCTAGATTAGTTATATTGGGATAGTTTAATAGTAGGAGTTACTGGCCTACAGTAGGTAGGGATCTCCTGCTCTCTAATCACTACGCTAAGCGAAATGGGTCATTTCACTCCTGTGGTCTAGATTCGTAATTATATTTGTATCCTCGATCCTCTTATGTACGATGATCTGTTAAAAATAATATTTGGAGTAGAATTGGTAGAGGATAACTAGTAATGTTAGATGTCTTAGTCAAGGGAAATACTATACTTATCGTCCACCACCTATACAGATTGTCGCTCGACTGGTATTTAGAATTCGATTCCACCACATGTAAACATGCCACGAACATACGACGAAAAGTAAATTATTTGTACACTTCAGCCCTTTGATATAGTCCTAAACTCAGCGATAGGGAAGTTATAAATACCTAGAATATCCCTCGTACGACTTTACGTAATCGACGACACGGTCTCCTCTACGAAACGGAATTCCCGCTAACTCCCGTAAATTAACCAACCTAGAAGAAGAAGCAATTATAAGATACATAGTCGAACTATATTCGCGATCGTTTCTTCCTCGGATCGGTGATGTGAAAGATATGGCAAATCGACTCCTCCGCTAACGCGACCCGGGACGCGTCGGCGTTAACTAGGTCTCGAGTCTCGTTTGACGATTACCAGATCTACAGACGCGTTTAATCGAGGAATCTACTACTAGAGAATCCTCTACGAAAATATTCACGCGTATCTTGCATGGTTTACGCTCGTACAAAATATAATCAATAAGTAGGGGATTTAAGAGGGAGATATCTATAGTTAAATTCGACGAGATCGCGTTCATTATAGCAGTGCCTCTGCCTCGTCACAAAGGCACAAAATTTGTCAAACAGTCGAGGCGTTGTTTTTTTCCACTTTAGATCCCTGGGGGTCGTTTATGGCTCTTCGGATATACTTGCTGCTGTTTGCATGCTACACCAGAGTCGCAGAAACGGCGGGCAAGCAGGGCGAGCAGGGCGAGCTATGCTTGAGGCAGCCTGAGAAAAAGGGGCGAGTGATCATGTGATGCAAAGTGTCAAGATTGAGGTATTGTAACAAGTCAAGCTTGATGGTCTAAGCGTGGTGACTAATTTGACATGAGGCTACAGTATACTACCAGTATAAAGTCTCTGACCAAGGAATCTCTCTCCACCAGCATTCTCTGTTAACATTTTAGTGCCCATCGCCAATTCCACAATCTGTTCTCAATTCGTTGTTTCAAGATAAAATATCAGTCAACTGGCAGGACGAGTAGTACTAATTTGCTTTATCGGGAATATCCAAGTTAGGTATGAGATCATCTTTGTAATTGGTAGGTTGTAGCTCCTCGAATCCAACTGCCACAGGCGCAAAGCATAAATTCACTCGAGATGAGGATCTCGGCACCAAGTGAAGTCGGCGTTCCTCAGAGTCCTTAAAATAAGGTCCGAAAACAACTTTCCGACCACGATTAGTCGTAAACTATTTTAAATAAGCAATAGCTTCAACCTGAATTATCAATCAACCTTGCGTAGAGAGCACAGTGAAACAAAATGTGGGTTGGAAACTTTTACTTGAGCGCTAACTATATCCGAAAGCTCGCCTTCGTCTATAGGTGTGTATGTCTAGACAATATATTATCACATTCTTGTAGTACTGGAGGCTCGTTTAATCCGTGTGGGCATGAGTTGCCCGAGTACTATTTTGCTTAGAGAGTGTGATGTATCCAGTTATAGCCAGAAAATTGCAAAGCAACTGTTTTATTCGAATCCGTCAGTAATAGACTAGACTATTTAATGAAACTTAGATTAGTAAAGCGAGCGAGACTAGCCTTCGGAACCGACAAACGGACAAGGTCGAAGGAGTCCTAGCCCACTTTTGTCGAAAGCACCTCATCTGCTTTCAGGCCCTATAAACAATTAATTAATTATTATTATTATTTTAAATACGCCGTAGGCTCGAAGCCCCCGGTACCTCTACTAGTACTCCCGTATGTCAAACCGTGCCCTAATGGCTGGACTAAATACATACGCTGCGTCGTCGGTTCGCCCTATTGGCGACTGCGTTGCGTTCACTACCATACTACGTTGGTTCTAAACCTACCAACAAAGTCCCCCCTGAGAAGATCGATGCTATCTGGGCCTTGAAGCTGTCCGACCCGTCCCTAGCAGCCACCTTACAATAGTCCCACTAACTACTGGTTCTCCTGTTGCCGTTGCGAGGTCTCTGCGAGAGTGTAGTGGCCGTGGTGCGATAGCGGCCCGTAATCGTTCCCTCGGTCCTTCCAACAGCCCGCAAAAGAGGATTACGTGCTCTGCCGTCTCAGGTGCGTCGCCACAGCGGCATAGCGGCGAGTACACGCCAAAAGCCCCTGTCTTGAATAAGAAGGCTGCTAGTCCTATTTTTTCCGTCCTGATCTGGCACAGCGTAGACGCCTCCAGTCGGTTCAGGCCGAAATACTTGCCCCCTTTCGGTATCTGCATCGAAGGGCCCTCCGGTTCCTCAGCGATGGCGCGTCGCTGGCGATCGTGATGCTCTGCTCCGGTGAGCCATCTCTTCCTCCAGTGGCCGAGGAGGGCAGCCGGGACCTCCTTTTCCTCGCTCATCCACTCGGAGCCCCGAGCCTCCTTCTCCATAGTGTACCCTGCCGGTCGGAGTAGCTGCGACGCCTGCTTCCTCTTCGCCGGCCTATCCTGCCGGAGTATATATGACGCTTTAGCGCTCGCGCTGCGAAGCAGATTTCTCTTCCCGCTAAGCCGTAGCCGTTCTTCAAACTTAGCAGCCCGGGCACTAAGATAGAGGTCTAGTGGCGGGATTGCTGCTTCTGCTTCCAGGTGGCGAACCGGCGTCGCTTTGTGGGCGCCACAGACTACCCGGAGGCACTCGTTCTGTATCTCCATCAGGCTCTTAGCTGGCCCTGCCGGTTCCTCACTTATAGTATGCCACGCAGTCGCCCCGAAGGCGATCGCGCTACGGATAACCACCGTATATAACAGCCTCGCCCGTATAAGATCGCAGCCCCACGACATATTGACTAGCTTTGTCAGGGCTAGCTTTTGAGTTGCCATTTTTGTTTTAACACGCTCAACATGGGCGTGCCACGTCAGTTTGCGGTCGAACCAGACTCCTAGGAACCTCGCTGAGACTACCGGCGACACTGTGGCGTCCCCAAGGCGAATACTTTGCGGCAAGGGCTCTCGGGCCCTAGTAAAGTGCATTAGCTCACTCTTGTCAGGAGCGAACTCCCTCCCGTGCCTCACTGCCCACCGCTGACACGTAGCCCATGCGCTCTCCAACCGGCGGCAGGTCGTGTCTGGATCGGTGCCGACGCTTAGCAGGTTCGTGTCATCCGCGAACAATTAATTAATATTAAATATAATAGTTATCGCAGCCTACATCATAAATAACTCTCATGGAAGTCCTGTTTGGTCGGTATAGTTATGTCCACCAAGGACCAGGGGCAGGCAAGGTACTACTGTTGTCTAAAGTGCTTAATACCTGCTTACACCTAGTTCATCTTCTCCAACATTAATCTGTTAGGCTGGATGACCGCGGAAAAGAAGTTCAGATCCAGAAGTTGCGTGATTACTAAGACTGGATATATACCGAACCTCATTAATTTCCGCATGTCGTACGTAGATATCGGACGATAAGTCCACAGATTTTCCGACTTGATAGTAATGAGTTTATTTAAATCCATAGAATTCTGCACAACAGCCTGTCACAAGGTGTCCTGTGCCTGTCGCGTCATATATTCTGCGAAGGACGACCGACATTTCCCGGGATTTGGATTGAGGAGCGCATCACAGCAGTACTCAAGAAGCACTTCCATGACAGAAACTTGCAGATTCAAACGAGTACTTATTTCAATCGCACAACACCTAGACATAGGCCCTGGTGAGATTTGTAGTCCTCGGATAGAGCCTATCCATTACGCAGATGAAGTTTGCCCACCAGGGATTAGAGAGAACACAGGTTAGTATTCGTTAATAGAGATAGACTGATATCGTAACATTAAATCAAAAAAAATAATAAGCTCAATATTAAAGCTTGTCACGCTCTACTATAGAAGGTGTAGGTAGTGGTGACGGGATTAAGCGGCCAATTACTATACTAGAGCGCCGGCTTCGCGTGGTTAAAAAAGTACGCGGTTGGTGTACAAAACATAATATCTATATGCTAGGCTTTATTTTGACTCCATTTTGTGTGTGAAATCGCTTATATTCATGGGAAAATGGCTAAGGGCTAGTTATAGTGCCTTATAGCATTTGTTGTTCTGGCGGGGTGGTCTCCTGACTTTTAGAACATGACTGAGCTAGCGGCTATATTGCTGCGTTTTATGGCAGAGCGAGTGAAGGATCTTTATGTCTGGAACCAAAATGTCGTATTTGGCTATGATATTGATTGCTTCTCTGATGTCACTATCAACTGTCAATTGTTTGTACTGGGCAAAATGGTTGTTCCTTAGAACCTCTGGGGGTTTACTATAATCACGATAAGGTGGGAGCTTATTCCGACGAGGACCGCATTATTCGCGGAATAGAGGAAACTTGCCTAAGATACTGCGTAAACATCAAGGAGGGAAATATTATCCATCGTTTGTTGTGAGTGAATGATGTGATCAAACTTCAAATTTGTTTCTAACATAAAACCTACTTGCACAAAATTATAAGTACAACCTACGCAACAACCTATCTCCACCACATTCTTGGTCAGTCTTGAGAGTACTGACTTCAAAATAACCCGATACCCAATACCCATCACCACGCAAAAACTATCTCCCACATCACACCACAGCCATCTAAGCATCCGTCAAAACAACAAAGAACCCCATGGGACACTGTTCTCCACACTGCTTAAAGATGAATGTCGTATCAGGGGAGCACAAACTCCCACTAACCGTAACCGTCCCCGCCTCGGCCGGAATCCCACAAGGCGCACTATTCACCACATAGCTGTGCCCTGGCTTCAAAACGGGAGGCGGATTGGGCGGACTAGGTCCAGGAGCAGGCTGATTCTGATACGTAGTCTGCCCAACCACAGCACCCACCCCAATAGCGTAACCGGTGAATTTTACGGTGCCTGGGCCCTGGAAGGCGAAGGAGCCCGGAGCTTGCAGCTGGGAGGGGAAATCGAAGACCAGGTTGCAGATCTTCCCTTGAGTGGCGGCGGCGGGAAGTTCAAGGTTGAAGATGGTGCACATGTCGTTGGGCGTGACTTGGGCCCATTGGGTCGCCGCGAAGGCTTTATTGGGTTTCTTCGCGGAGATAGGGAGGAGGACAGAGGTTGAGATTGAGCCCTTGGGAAGGAGGCCGTCGGGCTGAGCTGCGTTGGCCGGGCATTGAGATTGAGAAGTCGAAGCCCCTGGGAAGAGAGTGGGCGTTGCGTAGACGGAGGCCGCCATGGTAGCGAGGAAGGTGGTGGTCTTCATTTTGACGCTGATAGCTTGGGAGTGTAGGTTGGAGGTTAGAGAAGTGGCCTTGTTGACCTAGAATGATGACTTTGAACGATGGACTCTGGATGCAGGGATAGTAAACGGAGAGATCTACAATGGTCTAGAACAACTTTACTCTAGCAGTTGTCACGAAGCAAACCACAGCGCATGGACGGCTAGAGCAGTTCCTACCATAGCATCTAAGCGCGGCTGAAAGAGGAAAATTTTCCAAGAGAAATAGTACACGTCTGTGTGCGTTAGCAGTCTAAGGCTAAGTGGGAAACTCTCCCCAGGTTTTGCCAGTGCTTTACGAAGCTTTTGGTTTCAACCGCCTCATTCCTAGGGTCGAGGGTCTCAATCCCGAGGGAAGGTTAGAATTTGGGCACGATTCCTGCCAGCCTCAGATGCCCGTTTCAAACTTCTGTACTAGCTGCTGGAGTTCTAGACTATAAAAAGATGGCTAGAGCGTTGTACTCTCTGATGTAGGCATATCTTGGCGTCGGCGTATAAGCGCGGCTGCTAGTTGGACTTGAAGCAGCTCCAGGAAGGATATAAGCGAACAACACTAAGGACCAAGAAAAAGTATAACGGAGGCACATTGTAATTTGCAATACAGTACGTGCCCCGTTCGTCGAAATTACTTCTTGGGAAGCTTCAAGGACAGAAAGCAGTTAGTGATCTAGCGCACAAGCACCCGGATCAACCAGCTCTATATTGCTGACATATGGGAACAGGGAAACATCGACAATGCTCAACGACTGTATACTGCTAACACTTATTTCGTTGCTTCAATGCGATTCTCATTTGACATGTAACTGAACGCCATTTGCGACAATGCGCCTGGGACATAATTTGCGAGTTGATTTCAAATAGCGGCATTGGACAATGAGTGATAGACAATGTTATCAACTTGACTGGTATGAGCAATCGCCATGCAAGAGTTAAGTCATTGCAGATGTATACCGAGACGAATTCGGTCAGCTTGCATGTGAAGAAGGATAGCACTTCAGCTTTTGATATTTGGGAATCGCGATTATCGGTTTTCTTTGGACATCAGAAAATTACTTTTTCCTCCTGCTTGCACGGAGTCCTCCGCCCCTCTAAAAAGCTGCACCAACAACGTGCTCTTGGCAGCAAACTTGAGCCGCTCTACCTGTAATCGCAACCGGCCCAGGCGGTGACGCACAGATCACGGCACAATTACTCCTCTGCGAACAGGCCAATTACCAAATTCGAGAAGCTGCTTTTCGCTGGGCCCTGTTCCAACTCGGACCCACGTCGTCATTTTCCCACTCCAGCCACCTCAGCAGCTTTCAGCTTCCGATCCCCATTCTCCTCGAAGTCTGACAAGACCATATCGTTTCTGCCTCGCCAGTCAACCATACTCGTTTAATCCGATTGCAGGCGACTCGAAAAGCCATCATCATATCTTTGGGCATTGTATCGCTTCCTGCAGCTCATATCCCACCGGCACTATGGCACCTCCACCTTCTGCCAACTTGCCTCTTACCGAGAGAATCGTGATCCTCGCGAAAACCCTCCAGTGTACGTGACATCCCCGTTCACAACACCCCGCACCGTCCCAGTTTGGTGAAGTTTTGAGCTGACCTTACAATTTCCACAGTTGGGTGGTTTACCGGGTATGTACATCGATCGAGCGCTTCGTGATCTTGAGGCGGCGCATCCTATGTCAACCACGCGAGCATCATACGCGAGCATCATCCGCACGCATACCCGAGACACTCGAGGGATCGCCCAGACTGAATGAAATAAATAAAAAAGGTGGCTAATGATCACATCACAGACATCTCGTCCTGTTGCTCTGCATCACCCGATACTCGCTGTCATGGATCCGAATGAATTACTACACCCGCATGGCGCAGTTCTCGTACCGCACTGCCTTTATTGCCGCTGCCGCCACCTACGGAATCGTTGTTTACAAGACGATGCGAGCTAGACAAAAGGTGGGCGCGAAGTACCCTTCGGGCGGCGCTTTGGGACTTGCGGCCGATGAGAACGTCCAATACTTGGGTAAGTTACCAGTCTCATCGCGATCATCTGGCCTGCTTTCAAAAGCTAACTCGTCTAGTCATGGCTTTGGTCTGGCTCTTCATGCCCCAGTACCCCTTGGCTATGCTCCCCTACGGAATCTACTCCATCTTCCACGTCGCGACCTACACGCGTGCCAACGTTATCCCCACTATTCAACCGGCCAAGCCTGCTGCAGGAGCCTCCTCTGGCGCCAAGGCTGCTGGAAACCCCATCGCCGATGCTATTGGATCCTTCGTCAAGACCTACTATGATGCGTCCATGTCTGTTGTTTCTTTCCTCGAAATCGCTCTCTGGGGCCGTATCTTCTTGTCTGCCATCATCTTCCAGCGACGGTCATGGATCCTTATTGTCATCTACACCGTCTTCCTCCGCGCCAGATTTTCCCAAAGCTCTCACGTGCAGCACGCGTTCGCCACGATCGAGGCACGTATTGATTCGGCCGTCGGAGCTCAAAATCTTCCCCCGGTGGCGCGACAGATCTGGGAGACGGTCAAGAATGTGGCTCGTCAGTTCCACAGCGCGACTGACATCAGCAAGTACATGAACGGAGCCTCAGTACCCAAGAAAACGTCTTAAACTCCCGATACGATTTCCTGTCTCTTTCGACACGGTTGGACGCCCACGGTGATACGGCGGTACGACAGATACGAACCAGATGCCAGGGTGGAGGTAGGATATGGTTAATCTCCTCGGAGCAAAATATTGGTACACGAAGGTGTGAAAGACGATTTGGTGATGGTGGGGAGAATGGTTGGAGGAACTGAAAAAGGGAACGGTACATCCGCTCTGTGAATCCACACTTTGTTACCTGCTTATAAGGAGTCGGCGACCATGCATTATAGGCTGAGATCCGGCGACTTTGTATTTTCGGGTGCCGGAGACGGCTTGGCTCTGTCTTCTTACTCGGTTATGACTTTCTAGCATAAGACATGAATGTCTCTGACGGCTGTTGAATCCAACTTGTGCATCTCACCTATTTTGCCGTTGCCAGCTATGATTTCTAACAGCGCCTACTCAAGCCCCCTGGGATGAATCTCCTGCCTGGGTCTACAGTTAATACCACCTCCACACACATCCCAGGCGGAACTCGGTCAAAGATCACTGCCAATTATGGATCCTCAAGATGATCACTCTGCCATGCGGAGACTTGATAGCTTACGCCACAGGTGGATATGACGTCGGATTCAAATAGTTTGGGACGCAATTGTGCATGAGCCATGCCCTGATACCCAGGAAATAATCTAATTTCAAAGCTGACTGCTCCGGGTTAAACAGCAATTAAAGCGAGGTTACGCAAGTTTCATGTCAAGTTAGGTAACCGACAGCGCTGAGTATGACCCGATCTCGTGTAGACTAACTATCCCATTCAAGCCACATTCGTACCCCACTAAGCGAAGCGATGACGTAGAATGAGGGTATGAAGGTGGGATGGCCCTGCCAGCACAGGCGTCCCAGCATCGAGTAATTCCGACGTGCCCGTCCTTCGATCATCCTGCACTCACTGCTTCGGTTTCTTGTTTGCATGCCCAGACACTAGACGACCGTCACGAGACCGATTCGATGCGTGACGAACTACTACAAGTGGACTGACCCTGTTTGGCTATTCCAGCCCGTCTCGCAAGTCGGTCTCGCACTGCGCAGCGACCTTTTGCCCTTCAATACCATGGCTTCGCTTCTACGTCAGATCGTCGCTGGCCCTCGCGCCAGACATCCGGAAGCAGGCCTGGATCTCTGTTATGTGACGGACAATATAGTTGCAACGTACGAATTGCACCCATCTGAAATCACGGGGAATTGCAAGACTGACAGGCACAAACTCGCAGCTCCGGCCCTTCACAAACATATCCCCAACGAGCATACCGTAACCCTCTCGACCGTCTCGTCACTTTCTTAGACGCTAAACATGGCAAAAATTGGGCAATATGGGAATTCCGCGCTGAGGGCACCGGGTACCCAGACCACCTGGTGTACGACCGCATCCGACATTACCCCTGGCCAGACCACCACCCGCCGCCTTTCAGACTGGTTCCCATGATCGTGGCCAGCATGAGGAATTGGCTCAACGGGAACGACCTTGATGAAGACGGTGCGCGTTCTGAGGACAAGTCTAAATTGATAGCACGAGTGTTGGAACACTGGAAGGACAAGAAGAACGGTCGCGTGGTTGTCGTGCACTGCAAGGCAGGCAAGGGACGAAGCGGTACCATGGCCTGTAGCTTCCTCATCTCCGAGTGCGGCTGGACGCCTGAGCAGGCCATCAATAGATTCACGGAAAGGCGAATGCGGCCAAAATTTGGCCCGGGCGTCAGTATACCCAGTCAAGTACGATGGATCGGCTACGTGGACCGCTGGACGAAAGGCGGCAAGAAGTATGTGGATCGCGAGATTGAGATCGTTGAGATCCATGTTTGGGGTCTGCGCAGTGGCGTCAAGCTCTCAGTCGAAGGCTTCGTGGACGAAGGCAAGAAAATCAAGGTCTTCCACACCTTCAATAGGGAAGAGCGCCTTGTCGTGGAGGGGGATGCGCCGGGTAGCTCGGGGATAATGGATTCGATATATGAACTTGCCGGCTATGGTAACAGCCCAACTACCGAACAGGAGGTTCTTGTTGGGGCAAGGGAAGCTGATGTGCAAAACGGCACAGACTTTACCAAAGGCGCACCCAACCGCACTCCCAGCAGCTCTGCGACGCCCGTGTCGGAAACTATCGAAGCACCAAAGAAGTCTCACACGGCGAAGCTGATCTCGCCAATATCGCGCAACGCTTCTACTGGCAGCACATCTAAAGATAACTTGGGGTGTTCGAAGTCGAAGAGGAAGTCGAAAGTGTTCGCTGACGACTCTGGCCATTCCTCGTCCACGTCGGTGGACAAGCTTGATCCCGAGCCCGGAGGCCGTGCCGTCATCTTCAAGCCCAAAGAACCCATCAGAGTGCCTACGTCCGACGTGAACATTACCCTCGAACGTCGCAACCGTGCGCCCAGCTCCATGGGTCTCACGATGGTGACCGCCGTGGCCCACGTGTGGTTCAACGCCTTCTTCGAGGGCGACGGCCCTGAGCAGGGTGGGATCTCAAGGGACAATGGCGTGTTCGAGATCGAGTGGGATAAGATGGACGGCATCAAGGGATCGAGCCAGAAGGGCACGCGTGCGATGGACCGCATTGCCGTCGTCTGGCGAAGCGTAGCTTCGCAAACCGCCGAGGGAGTCGAGACAGGACCAAATGAGGTCGTCATTACGGAACCGAGCGAGAACTCTCCCGTGCCGCAAATGCAGCCCGCGGACTGGAAAGGCGGGAACGACGAGGACCCGGCGCAGGAGAAAAAGCTGGGGCTTCGGGTGCAAAGTCCAGATAGTGCGAATGTAAGCCAGGCTAGTAGTATCAATGAGGAAATCGGGAAGGGGACGGATGTTGATGTTGATTCTATTAAGGGGGTGAGGAGTGATTTGCCCGGCGCGGAGATGGGTGACGATGAGGAGACGAGGGGGAGGAAGGGGCAGCCGGAGCTGGAGGCTTATGCGGAGAAGCTGCCTAGTCCGGAAGGGAGTGGGATGGATGATGGGAAGAAATAATGTAGGCAAAGGGTGTGAGGTTGGGATGTTGACGGCTGGTTGGAATGAGTTCTACTGTGTCTTCGATTTGCGTTGCATCGTCTGGGGCTGTCTTTGTTTCTGAATCCGAGTTTAGTTATTATGGAGATACCAATAACGAGGTTTGTTTTTTGGGCATTTGCTAATTAAGTGTGCACTTTCCATGTCCCGTTTGGCACAGCAAGTCAGATTCTCGTGTTTGTCATGCAATTGTGAGCTGTTCCAATGTGTGGGTGAGAGATTGCGCTTTCTTGGGAAGGGGAGGTCATTGCTCACATAGGAAACGACCTACTCCCGGTTCTAACTAGTGTCTGCTGTTCCCTGTTCATTGTTCATGGACAGCTTCGCGTTGGTTTTATCTGGGAACCTGTCCAAGGAATCTGCTTATAGAGTTACTCATTTAGAGAATGACTATACAGGAATTGGCGTACGTGAAAATCTGGCATTACTACTATGATGTTGCCATCGGGCAATCCTTGAAACCTAACTAACATTACCCACTTGTACTGTTACAAGGTTGTCAGGTTGGTGAGTGGTCGCCACGGTCCCCGCGTCTGGGGCCTGGCGTATATTTCGACATGAATTTTCAGCCCGAGAAATGGAACGAGGTTCCCACTTTATAGTTAACAATCAACTAGCTATGAGTTCAAGGAGTAGTTTACAGGAGCAACTTTCAGATCGGAGATTAAACACGAATTTGGCACCAAAGAAACAGTATACGGTTTGGTCCCTTTGTTCATTGACAGAAAGAAATCTCGAGAGAAAGGAAATCCACCACATGCCCTAGGTGAAGAGGAACGGATCTCTTGGTTACCGCGTTCGACCTAGTGAATAGGCCCTGGTGGATGATAGAGTCCCATATAGCACCCCACGTATAATAGGTCTGACCAATGGAGTAACTGGGACCCCCTGACAATAACCGAGCGGGTCAACCCGCTCCAATCCCGTCCTATTCCCGACATCCTCTGAACAGGCCTTAACCGAGCCAGAACTTCCACCAAAGCAGGAACGAAATGCGGCACGGCTATCTTATGTATGCATCTCTCGTAGCCGATCCGATTCCGAAGTGGTCCGATCATCGGGCAAGTTTCTACAAGCGAGACCAGGAACTGGGAGCTTGAAAAGCGGCAATGGCCATGCCAAGACCACTTCCAGGACTCCCTGTGCTAAAAGGAATTATATAGCCAACGTTAAGTCTATATCAACCTCGGGGCTATTGCATGAGGACTGTCTCCTCCTCCCAGAACTCCGCGCCGGCTCTTCTGGACACCGCCTGCAACAGGTGTGCGACAGGGCATGGATTGAGGAGAAGATGAATAATTCTTTGTAATCAGAGAAAAGGTGGGTAATTATTATGTCCAGTTAAGGATCAGATAAAATACGTCGGCGCGATTTACGGACGTGTTAGCGGGGCATCATCGCATGGCTGATCCTTCTAGGTTCGCCTACCTGCGTGAGGTAAATACACGCCGGCACTTGTTGAGTTCGCGGGGATTGATACCAGTGACTAGTCCATAATCATCGCCAAGCGGGGTTGCCCTTGAGCAGGAGGTTGGCCAACGTTCATCATGGGAGTTACTGTCGACTATCTCGGCCCAACTCTTGCGCCGCTGCAGGGCTCAAAAATTATCAAAGTATATAAGACGGTCATCGACGCGGGAATGTCTCTTCTACCGAACTGCCACTGAGCCTACACACTTGACTCTAATTACACTTCAGAACCCTCATCTTAACTGCTCCCATCCATCATAATGAAGTCCCCACTCACTATCCTCGCATTCATCATCACTCTAGCCGCCGCTGGCGACTGGGGCAAGTCGTGCTTCGATGAGACACTGGATCCCGTGACCGACGTGCTCACTGCCACCTGCCGCACTGGCGATGGGAGAGGAATTACGAAATTGACTTCGCTCGATTTGAACGATTGCTACAAGTATCAAAATAACAAGATTGAGGTATGTCATTTCTCCTTCTCGTTCTTGTTTTCCTTCATTCGCGTCGAAGAGAACATAAGACTGACTATGTGTGTGCTTTTTTCAGCCGAGCTTCCATGGAAACTTCAGTAATTCATGCACCGACTGCGCAATCATCCGCTTGCCAGATCCCGTTTACGACGTCGTGGGCATTTTACACCCTTGGATGAATTGCACGTGTGTGGGTGCCCCAACTGAAGTTGCTATTAATACCGGTAAGCCACTGCTCCTCTTCAAGAAACTATGTTGCTCCATACTTAGATACTGACCTATGGCGTCTGTAGATGCGGAAATTGATAACCGCTTTGGAAACCTGATGTGCAACATACCGTAGGTGGGTTGAGACATGGTGTTTGGAGGGATGCATGTGGTACTTGAATAGCATTTCGTTAAGCTTTCAGAAGATGAAAAAGTGGGTAGAGCCTTCGATTTTTGAGATTTGGCATTATCTGGCTTGTAAGGGGTGGTTTCATTCAAGTATATTTTGGTTTTCTCAACGTAGTGTTGGTCTGTACATACTCTTTTCTATTTCTCCGCCTTCTGGAATTGACAATATTGCCCATATGTTGAACCAGAATTGAATCATATGGATTTGTTACAGTCTAGTGTTTAGCCGGGTGGTCTTGATTGGGTATATTCTACATAACGTCACCCACAGGTCATTGCCCCACACGGGTCTTTGCCCAACTTTTCAAGAAATCTTGACTTTCCATCTTTACTTATACAATTCTTCCCTTCCACAACATGGCACGCAAATCTAGTGAAGCTAATCTTCAATTAGCCATCCAAACTAAACGACGCGATCCTCACCTAAGTTGGAATAAGCTTGGTAAAATCTCCAAAGTCGACCATAAGACATTGAAGCGCCGTTACGAAGGCGTACAACCATTACACATTACTAACATGTCCAAACGGAAAATGACCGAAACCGAAGAGAATACGATTACCCGACGCGTAATTGAGCTAGATTCGCGAACTTTTCCTCCCCGGCTTCGATACGTTGAAGAAATGGCGAATATCCTCCGACGCGACCGCGACGCGTCACCCGTCGGCAAGAACCGGGCCTCGAGCTTCGTACGGCGACAACCAGACCTCCGGACGCGTTTAAATCGTCGAATCGATTAACAGCGGGCATTCTGCGAAGATCCTGTCGCGTATCGCGGTTATTTTAAGCGTGTTGCGGACACAATAGCGAAGCACGGCATCCAGCCGGAGGATATCTACAACTTTGACGAGACGGGCTTTTTAATGGGCATGATCTCAACCGGCATGGTCGTTACGAGTACCGAAAGACGTGGAAGGCCTAGGCAAGCCCAGCAAGGCAATAGGGATGGGTTACTGTCATTCAGGCGGCCAATTCCCAAGGCTGGGCGGTGCCGCCGTACATCATCTTCGCGACCAAAGTTCACCTCGCTTCGTGGTATCGCGACACCACATTACCGGGCAATTGGGTCGTTGATCTATTCCACAACGGATGGAAAACGAATGATATGGGTCTCAGCTGGGCAGCTCACTTCGATCTGCACACACGATCGTACGAAGGGTGTCAAACGCCTCCTGAGTCTTGACGGTCACGAAAGCCACCACTCGATGGATTTCGAACAATACTGCAAGAACCATGGCATCATTACCCTTCCTATGCCTGCCCATTCGTCCCATAAGCTCCAGCCTCTCGACTTGGTGCCTTTTAGTGTTTTGAAACGGGCGTACGGTGTGTTTGTTGAGGGTTTGATGCGACGGCATCATACCCACGTTGCGAAGGAGGATTTCCTTGCCGGTTTTTTGGAGGCGTTTGGCGCTGCTTTTACTAAACAAAACATCAGATCTGGTTTCGAAGCAGCTGTAATTGTCCCTTTTGACCCCGACAAGGTTATATCTGCCCTGGATGTCGCAGAAGTCGCGCGTACACCCTCTGCCGACTCAGAACTCCTACCCCCTATTTGGACTTCTAAGACACCTACTACCACCCTTGAAGCCGAATCGCAGTCAACGTTGATTAATAATAGCGTTCAGAGGCATCAAGACAGCTCTACGACGCATATTATTCATTCAATTGACTCGATTGCAAAGGCTACGCATGCAATGATGCAAGAGAATGTTATCTTGCGTCGCGAGAACGAAGAGCTTCGTGAGACTAACCATGTGCTAAGCAAACGTCTCAGAACCAAAAACAAGCAAATCCAGTATGGTGGGCCACTTAATATAGAAGATGCACAAGTTCTACGGGCTATTAGGGGTGATACGGGTTTAGAAAGTGAGGAAGAGGGTGAAAGTAGTCGTCCTACAAGGAGGAGGGCAACGGGTGCTAGGCGCTGTGGCATTTGCGGAGGAACTGGACATAATGCGCGAACTTTTCAGGCAGATGTAGAAACAGATAATGAAAAGAATTCTGATTAATTTCTTGAATGAATACGGGTTGTTGTTGATCTATCTAAGATTAAAGGTTGGGAGGTCGTGAAAAGTTGGGCAAAGACCCGTGTGGGGCATTGACCTGTGGGTGACGTTAACCTATTTGTTTTAACCACGTTTGTATACTCCCTTATAGAAGCCCACGGCTTATCAAGCCAGTGGAGTAGACTAGCTACTATAGGTGAAAAAGGGCAGGGGCCTCTGCCTTTATAATTACTGCTAGGCTGTTAAGGCCTAAGCTATAAGTTACTTCCGTCTCGCTTTTACCTCCATAAATACTGAAAAAGTTCCCTCGCACTATAGCTATTACTAGTACAGATACCAATTTCTCGTAGCTATTTTCTTAATAGCTAGGTAGTTAAGTAGCTCTTTCTTATATTACCAAGATGTGACAGGCTAGAACTATAGGCATCGTCGGCGATAATAATTTCAACTAGTACGGAGCAATAGTGCAAATCTGGACACACAGACCACTCAGCATCCGCTCGTACGTTCGAGCATCTAACGATAGAATCTTTTACCGAGTACCAGCGATTTATTAGTGACGATAAATCTATTCGGCTCGCAGTTACAGCAGATAAGTACCCCAAGTCACGCAGTGAGAAGAGCACGACCACTTCCGAATCTACGCGTAATAGCAACTATAAAAGGCTCGACAGACAGTCTTATGAAGACAGCGACTATCGCACCAAGGACGGTAAGGAAGATCGTCAACGCTAGCGCCAATGATCCGAAGATCGTGAGCCTCACTCTCGGCGCCGCCGTCAAGATTAAAGCAAGCCCCAGAAACAACAGGAAGAAGATCAACAGCACCGCCGCCAAAGTACCTACCAGAAGTGCCTTAAAGTCCTCCCTAACCGCAATAGCTGTATAAGCCACGTCATAGCCAACTACTATCAACGCTAGAACCAACAGAGCCCCAGAAGCCAGAAGATCACCAACTTCAAGTAGCCATCCTACAGGCCTAAGTGCGTTCGCTTCGATCAACAAGTCCGCCGTCCCCATATTCATCTCCTCCTCCGCCGCCGCCGTTAACAACTACACTAGTGAAGGCGATGGGAATAGCTTATCGCTAGAGATCCCACAATCGCCGCCACAATCAACAAAGTCGACTTCGCCGAACCTACCGCCGCCAACCTCATCAACAACGCCACAACTAGCGCTAGTCACACCAGACAAGCCACTACGAATATCATCATCTCCTTCGCCTCCAGGCAGTACCTAAGAATCAGGGACACACAAGCCCAAGCCGAGCCGCTGCCACTACTGTCAAGAATCTTTTCAGTCAAGAAACCAGCTATTTGAGCCGTACAAGTGGCACGCACTACCGCCAGCGCCAGCCAAAGTCACGATCCCCTTCACAATTAACAATTCCCTCGCCTTCACCTTCTGATTATGTCAAGCCCCGTATGAATCACACTAAAGCGAATACATCCTCAAGAGCACTGCCCCGGATGCCGTCAAAGGTATCAGTATCGGTAGCCCCGTCACAGCAGTTGCCGGCGCCTTCAAAGTCGGAAATACAGCAGCTAGCAACATTAATGCAATAGTAAGGGCAGAATGGATGTCCAGGGTCGAGGTCACCAGGCATTTCATAGATAGACAGTCTCTACTTCAGTCATTAATTTAAGCATCAATCTAACCTACTAGTGAGGCTTATCAAACCTTAATATCAACTTCCCTCTTGTATATGTAATTCCTTTTTCCACACATACCCAAGTTAAGAGCCCCACTACCTACTGCTCAGTTAGTTCATAGTAGGACTTGCTTGTGAACGCAAACCCAGCCACCGTTCTACCCTCAAAAGTAGAGCAGTTGTTACACTGTTCTCAGATGGTCGAAGGTCCCTTTGATATCCCGAATTATAGTAGTTAATACTGTAATTTAGTGAGGAGATCGGCCTATGGGATTTCAGCTTCGAGTAGTCCTCTTTATTAGCATTAGGTAGTATTAGGATAAGTGCTTTCCTCCAGCGAAGCGGATGGTAGTCTAAATTAAATAGGCCCGAGTAGGCTTTAAACAATACAGCGAGGATTGCTCTATTAAGGGCGTTCCTATAACCTATGTTTAGGAGGTAAGAAATGGATGGTTCTGTATTCTAGTCACGTGGCCAGTGCATGTCTGAGGCTATACTACTATATTTAGCCCTGCCTTCCCCTGCAACTTGATCGTTGTCTATCATCAGTATCATCACCAATACAACGTTCTTGCCTGTATTGCCCACACATACCAGATCTGCTCTGGAAAAAGACTCACGAGCTCCCATACCGATAATTTAATCCGCCTACACACTTATAATATATGTTATTTCCGGGACATGGCTGTATCTGTTTATAAAATGAAAGCCGATATAAGTGGAATTTGTAATAGAGATGGCCAAAACCCACGTCATCAGTTACGACGCCAACCCGTTCATAGTTAATACAATGATATATCGAGAGACAGAGCCGTCTTAGACTCGTAGAATTACCTTTGCTGTACCCAGCTGTGGGATTTTCAACATATTCCGCTTCGGCATTGCCGATACGTCGTGGAGGACTGCAAAGGCGACACCCACGAGACCCTGAAGTCAGTACCAGCTAATTGCGTAAACGACTGATAGATCGCTTGGGTCACATCCGGCAATTCAGTTTCCCCTACAGGGAATGAATAAACTCCTCCCCCTAGTACCCCCAAATCGATTCGGATGTGGCTGGATTTGCCTCCTCGTGAAAGCAAAGGCCATATAGCAATCACCTTGAAACTGCAGGCGACAGGGTTCGGGACTGCCTTTCGAAGAAGTTCCCATTCATTGGGAAAGTGGGCGAAGTTTGTTGAGGAGATGAGTAAATAAATTGTTGTTGGACCGGAAATCTTAAAAATACCGGTAGCATGTCAGTGTTGGTAGTTTGAGGTAGACAACGCGTAGAGAGCCAAGGAATGCAACTTACTGTGATATGTGATCTAATACCGGAGCACCTGTCTCAGAGCGCCAATAGTGGCATTCCTTTGCCAT